ATAAGCATCTCTTATCAGGTGATGATCTGCAAATATCTTCCTTTCTGTGTTGCTTTTTTTTTTTTTTAACTTGCTGTTTTAGGCCCATATCTTTGGACTAAACTTTTCATAACAGTCTTGTGTTTGTTTCTAATCCATGTTCCCACTGCTGTCCAAAAGATATAACACATACAAAAATTTGGCCTTGTTAATTGCCTTGTTTAAAACACTTCTGACTCACCGCTTCTGGCTATTTTGCAGAGATTCTGAATTTGAATCACGTCTGAGTCTTCTTTTTTCTAGTAGAATTAACCTAGACCATACTAGGTAGATCTGGAGAGGGTCCTCAAAATACAGAAAGCAGTTTTCAATTTCCAGAGAAAATCCTGAGCTGATGACAAAAGATTCCTACCGAGCATTGAGGTTTTCAGAAGCCTCCCAGTGATGCCAGATCACTGCTGTGGAGGCAGAAAGCTCCTGGTCCTGGTCAGGTCTGGGCGACTTGTGTTTGCACTGCTAGAGCATTGCTGGAATGAATTCCTTCCCAAGCTTTGAGTCTACCCTTGGCCCCTCATGATCTGGTTCTGGATGGTTTCATTTTGTATCCACCTCTGATTACTTGGAGCAGCAACTCAAACCATGTTAAAAATAGTTCTGAGGCTGAATGTGAAGGACTATGGTATGATCATATAGTGTGTGTGCGCCACACACGGCAGGGGAGGGGTCAAGTGTGACCTTTGTGTCCTGACTTTGTACCTTTCAAGTAATATTTGCCAGATGCACCATCCTACTGTGTCCCTTCTTGATTTTAATTAATGCATTCTTTTTTTCTGGAATTTCCTCTTTGTAATACATTTATTTGTGTTTTTTTTTTGTGTCTGTGTTGTGGGTACCATGTGCCACAGCATGTATGGGAGGTTAGAGAGCAATGTGCTGGAGTTGCAGCTACCCAGCACAAGTGCCAGGCAGAGCAGCAAGTGCTCTCAGCACTGAGCCATCTCTCTAGCCCTCATCTTCCTGTTACCCATTCCTGTCACCTCCCCTTCGCTCACATCACACCAGTCATAAGAATTTATAGTTCAGAGAAGGCATTTTTGCCCCATGTTATAAGATGATGCAGAGAATACATCGATGTGTTTATCTGTTAAAAATATCTTGTGCATGCACCAGGCACGGTGGCGCACGCCTTTAGCCCCAGCACTTGGGAGGCAGAGGCAGGCAGATCTCTGCGAGCTCAAGGACAGCCAGGAGTGTTATACAGAAAAGCTGTTTTGAAAAACAAAACAAAAAATACTTTGTGTGGTCCCAGGAAGCCCCTGTGTGTGGAGAGCTTCTGACTCTCCTCCACTGCACCATTTTGCTTTTCATAACATGAGGCAAACAGTTGCTGTGGTGCCATCAAATGTGTGAACAAGAAGGCTGACAGAGCTGGCAGAGTCACCAGGTCTGCCCAGAAAGCTCAGAAGGCTAAGTGCATATTATCCCTAACTGCCACCGCAGGGTTAATCAATGCTGGAAGAGTGGTCACAGTTAGCCATTGATGTTTAATAGTAAAAACCTGATTAATGATACAGTGCATCACAAAGCCTTCAGAAGGAAAGGAAAATATTTTGTGGGCCAGTGTGTGTGTGTGTTTGAGAGAGAGAGAGCTTAGCATTATTAGTGTTCAAATGTTCAAAATCAGTACTTTTTAATAGAAATAACTAAAAATCTGTCACAGGATTTTGAGACCCATTAAATTTAGTGAGGAAACAATGCCTCATGTGAAGGACAGAGGGTTCACTGTTCTAGAGGAAACCTGTCACTAAGCACAGCCTCTGCTTTTTCTTTCCCAGATGGATAGCTCATCATTTACAATGACATTCTTCGGGCAAGGATACAGCCACGGTTTTAGTACTGATAAGAACAAACCAAATATTAGAATCTGTACCCAAGTGAAAGGACCAGGTACTGTGCATACAGCAGAAGGATGGTTCAGGGTTTTACACGGCCTTAGACTTACATTTGCGTGGATTGATTTAAGTATTTTGAAATTATTCTGTCTATAGATGGTTTGACATTGTTATTGGCCAATTTTATTAACACATCTAACCTTTTTCATGATAATTTAATAATTCAAGTTTGGGAATCGCAAATTTTAATTATTAATACGAAAGTTAGCTGATATGCTTTCCTGCTTCAGTATCTTACTTTAGTGTAATTGAGTCAAATCTGTGGCCCAACATTTCCAATTCTGTGAAGTATATAGCTTTATACACATTTTATAAAGGAGCATAATAACTTGTGAAGAACTTTCTAGAGCACTGTGCAGACAAGCCCTCACATGAGCCACAGGAGAGTGCACATCACCAGTCTCATCAAGGCAGGTGACAGGTTTCTGCATCACCTTTGATTTACAGCTTGGCGTTTAAAGGTAATTAGACGGTGTTGGCAGGAGTGTAAGTGCTCGTGTCTCACTTCATTATAGACTAAGTTACTGGATGCAGTCAGTCTTTATTTTTTGTTTTCATTTTATGGACAGTGGTATTTTCTCTGCATGTATGTCAATGTGAGGGTATTGGGTCCCCTGGAACTGGAAAACAGGTAGTTGTGAGCTGCATGTGGATGCTGGGAACTGAACCTGGGTCCTTTGGAAGAGCAGCCAGTGCTCTTACCTGCCGAGCAGTCTCTCCAGCCCCCGTGGTTTTTGTTAAGTGTGGAAGGAGGGATCAGTTTAGAGGACTAACAGATGAAAGGCCTCAGCAGTGTGGGTGGCGAGCCCTGGCTGAGGATGACAGGCTTCGCTGCTGCTTGGCTTTGTGAGACCAGGTGACGTGACACATGGTTATTGCTCTTGTCTGTGGAGATGGAACGGTGTTACTCACATAAACTGTAGTGCAAACCGAGTTTAGTTCCTAAGCGCTTAGTACAGGCAGTTCCTAATGGTAAGTACAGGTGGGGCCTGTAACCTGCAAATCCACAATTGGAATTCTCCAGAATCAGACCGTTTTGAACACCAATAGTGACACACAAGTGGCAGATTCTGCATAGTGTCAAATTTCAGGTGTGCTCAAAATATTTTATAAGATGATCTTCAAGGCCAGGCATATTGGTACATCCCTTTAATCTCAGCATTTAGGAAGAAAAGGCTTGCAGATCTGAGTTCCAGGCTGGCACTGGCCAGCCTACATAATAAGACAAAACAAAACAGGCTAATAATTTTAATGTGTCTGTACATATTCCAATATATATACACAAAACCTAAAGTACAGAAATCCCAAGCAGTTTGAATAAAGGATATTCCACATGAACTACATAAATGTTAATCATTTGTTATTAAGAGGCCAGAATATTTATTGGTAGAAATCTGTGCTAGACATGAGAAGCATGAGGTACACTATTGATTGAGGTGATGCTCACTTCATGAACTTTTTCTGCAGAGGCTGGATACGTTGCTACTCCCATAGCCATGGTTCAGGCTGCCATGACTCTTCTGAATGATGCCTCTGACCTACCTAAAGGGTAAGTTTTGCTTTCTTCTAGTGAGAAAGTGTGTTTTCAACCATGGGACAGTTTAGCTACTTTTGAGTTGTTTAGTCTTGGGTCTACGCACAAGTTTTTGTGTTCCTTTGGACCAAAGAAGTATTAAAGCGATGCCAAAGCCGGTCCCTATCTGCCTTTGGTGGATTTACTGTGAAGGTGAACAAGAGCCATGTAAGCTGGCTAGCAGTGTTATCTGCGGCTCATCAGTGCTGAGTACATACACCTTGGCAGCAGGGGAGCCTGGCTGAGTGGGGAATGTGCTGAGCATTTAGTTGGTGCCCTTGGGACTAAGCCAACCTCACCAGGGCACAGAATCCCATGACTGAAAAGCAAATCAGGCAATACAGATAGATTTGGAGTGTTATAAAATGTAATTAAAATTTTCTAGTACTCATCATTTGGTATTTTTGCAAATTATTGGTCATTATGAAAAAAGTTTAAGCACTGTTTAATAATAGTTGGTCAGCTGAATGAATCCCATTCATGTTTTTAGTCCTCTTGAGTGTGAAACCTCAGGTGTGTGATACTCAAGAGCTCCTTGAGCACACCTATAGTGTGGAAGTGTCTCATGAGAAACTGAGCCATGCTGCTGACTAATTTCTTTGAAGTAACTGCCATGTGCCCATTTGGCTGGTTTTAGTGATGGAGCCAGAAGTGGCTAACAGGGAAGAACTGGTTTTCAGGAGTTGTGCAGTGACTTAGTTGATAGTCGTCTTACAGAGGAGAGGGCTGGGGAGGAGCCACAGGCATTGTGTTCTCTTGTTACTGTTTTACAGGGGTGGTGTCTTTACACCTGGAGCCGCTTTCTCCAGAACAAAGTTGATTGACAGACTCAACCAACATGGCATTGAATTTAGTGTCATTAGCAGCTCCGAAGTCTAAACATTTGAAGATTAACAGAATCATAAAATGAACTAACAACTTCTGTATTTGCTATTGTGTGAAATTCTTCTATAAGCCTATCTGACTATGTGGAAGACTGTCAAGTCTAAATATCTATGCATTAAAAGCAGGAAACTATCCTAGCTTATCCCAAACTTCCTAGCTCAGCTGTTTTTATGGTTTTATCGCTTGTAAGAGAATATTCTCCTTCCCTGCTTAGCAACAAATGAACAGGGAAGGGTCCCTGTTTATGTGCTGACAGCATCCTTAGTGATGGGGTTCCACTGGTGGGAGGCTGCGCGTGGCGGTAACTTCTGCCTCCCTTGCCATGGTGGGAATCTCACCCCCCTGGGAGCTCCTGCATGGTCTGTGAGTATTAACTAAGTAACTGTACTTTTTCTATTTTAATCTACTTTCTCATTTATCTACATGGACTGATTTGGATTGTTTACCCAAGTTGGATAATAAAGGGTTGTTAGTTGAATGATGAACTTTTTGGTTTGGATTCCATGCTTACTTTTGTACATCGGTACTACTTAAAGTGGCCTGACCTATTTACTTTTTGTCCCTGATCTTGACAGCCTCAGAATTTTTCTCAAATTTGCATTTCAGACACAGTTGGCACTGAAACGCTAAAGAAAAAGAGCATTTCCTCTCGTAATAACCACGAGATACATGTGCTCAGAGATTGGGGATGATGGCTGGGTGGTGGCGCGCACACCTTTAATTCCAGAACTCAGGAGGCGGAGGCAGGCAGAGCTCTGAGTTTGAGGCCAGCCTGGTCTACAGAGCAAGTTTCAGGACAACCAGGGCTGTATAGTAAGACCCTGTCTCAAGGGGATAAGAGGCATTTAAATACATGCACACATTATAGAATAAGCAAAGAAAAGTAATAGCATCCATCACCTCAGATTATTTACCATTTCTTTGTGATGAGAACACAAAACCCCCTTTAGTTAAACACTGTTAATTATGGTCAGTTAGTCTGGGACAGAACACACAGACCCACGGCAGGACTCCTTTCCTCGTTCAACACCGTCCTCAGGCTCCTGGCGGACACCATCCCATTGTCCGTTCTATAGTTATTTTTTGTAGATACGAAATTATATAATGGCTTTCTCTATATAGTTTGATTAGTCACTTAACACAATGTCCTCTAAGCTTAGCTGTGTTGTCACAAATTAGAATTTTCCACTTTTAAAGAAAACTTATTTGTTCTTTAACAATTTCATACAAGTATATAATACATTCTGGTTTCTCTCACCCACCTCTTCAACCCCATCAGCCCTTCCAATCCCTTCCCCTCACTCACACTTTCCGTTTTGTTCTGTGACCATGGCCTTCTGGGCACCCAGGGTTTTGGATTGGAGCCCAGGGGCTTCTCAGTGAGTCCACAGCTGAAGACAGTGACTGGCCCGAGTCTGCGCAGTCAGTAGTTCAGCAGGGAGCACCTCCCCAGTCTGTGACTGATGGCTGCCAGGCCCAGTGCCGGCAGCCAGAGCTATGACCAGGGTTGCAGTGGCTGTCATGCCCAGAAAAAGCACCCACTGTCATTGTTCCTCTCTTCCAGCCCCCTCTTCCACTGTGTTCCTGAGCTTTAGAGGGGAGTGGTATAAATTATGTCTAGGGATGAGCATTTCATTGTCACTTAGCGTCAGCTCTTTGGCCAGCCATGATTCTCTGCATTCACAGCCACTCACTGCTAAGAGAAGCTTCTCTGTCTGGGATTCTCATTTGTGTAAAGGTATAAATAGGAATATTTACAAGGCAGTTTAGTACCATATCAATTTAGTTAAACAATCTTGTTTTTCTTAAGGTGGAGTAGCATTTGTGTGCACAAATACACACATGCCATATTTAAAATTCTGGCTGTGCATTGGTGGGCACCTAAGCCCTAGCTCAGCTGGAGAATAACGCTGCGGTGAACATGAAGTAGGCTAGCTTCAACATGCTTATTTCAGCCCCTTTGAGTATACACGCAGTAATGGGATTGCTTGATCATAAGATAATTCTGGTTTTTTAGGAACCTTCAAGGAAGTACTACATACATTAAGTGAAAATTGTGAGAACTGAACAAGTTAACAAATGTTTGGAATTATTGATTAAATGAGTCTGGTACCTGGTAAATGTGTTACAGCTCATTATTTTTAAAACTTTTTTTAAATTTTTAAGATTTTTATGTGCATTGCTATTTTGCCTGCGTGTGTTGTTGGATCCCCTTTAACTTGAGTTACAGACAGTTGTGAGCTGCCTAGGTCTTTTGGAAGAGCAGATAGTGTTCTAAACAATTGAGCCACCTCTCCAGCCCCAAGGGTTAACTATTCTTGTCACTTTGTTACTAGATGTCCCCCCTGGCCCTGAAAGGTTTCCTTATACATTCTTCCTAGAGTACTTGGTGTCTGTCAGTATGTAAGACTCGCCAACCATTGATGGAATCAGTGTCCTCTTAGGACGGACTGTCTGCTGGAGGGAGTTTGCCAACAGTCAGCTCTGCACCTCGTACTGCACTCCTGCTGCTGAGCCAACTGGTTGTATTTCAGATGAATAGAAAACAAATGGAGGCAACTTGTAGATGGGTGGACTTGGTCCGAGCAGGAGTACAGAATCAATGTGAACTAAGCATTGTCTGTTCTGACAACAGAGCAAACAACTAATGGGACAGGCTTTGTTTAAAGGGTGGAATGGCCAGGGCAGCCTGGGTTAAGATGAAACCCTATCTCGGAAAAATAAAAAGAAAACAGAGTGGAGAAGTGGCTCAGCGCTTAAAAGCATGTAATGGTCTCGCAGAAGACCCAAGATCAGTGCCCGGTACCCAGGGTGGGGCTGCCAGTAATTCTAGCTCCAGATGATCCAACTCCCTCTTCTAGTCTAAAAAGGTACCACACGCGTGTACAGACACACATACATAGATACCTATAAAAATTATTTTTTAAAAAGGAAAAAAAGATTGTGAGCTACTTCCCAGGAAAGCACTAATATAAACGTTGGCAATCGTTAACCATCCCAGAGAATGAATGCGGAAAGAGGCCTTAGAAGGAGGGTGAGTGAGTGGCCCCATGCTGTACAACATGGAAGTGATAGGTTTAGCCAGGATTGAACTGTGGGCACTCAAACCCAGAGCCTCAGTTTCTGAACATCTACCACAGACATCTCTCTCCATCTGTATATGTATTGATTTTTATAGAATTTTTAAATCTAGTTAAGGTCCAGCGTGGTGGTAGCACAGGTCTGTGATTCCCCATATTGGGCCAGGAGGGGCTTAGGGTGTACAGAGGCAAGACAGGCCAATCTGGTCCACATAGCAAGTCCTTATCAGAAAAGAGGCAAGTGGAGGTATCTTACCTAAAAATGGCAGATGGATTTCCATGAGTCTGTGAAGCTCAGGAACTCAGAGCGTCTTTGCAGTTTGCTTGTCCTCACTGCTGGCTGCGCAGTAAATACTCTTTCTTCTCCTTCACTATGAAAGCAACATTGCTCGTCCTCACTGTTGGCTCTGCATTAGATATTCTTTCTTCTTCTTCACTATGAAAGCAACATCATTTTTCAGCCTCCGTAAGCTGGATTCAAGCAGGTCCTCCAAATCCTTTAGCATCTGTGACTGTTGGTGCACAAAAGGTCGAAGCATTTTATCGTCTTCCTAAAAATGAAAGGAAAAAATGACAGTGACGTCATGACTGGAGTGAAAATACTTGGTGCATGTGAACGAGGTGTCCAGCAAATGTCCGTGTGGCTGAAGAGCTGCACTGGACCCTTTCGAGCAGTGGGGACCTGGAGCAGGCGCTTCAGGAAGGCTGTTCAAATGCACCAGGAGTAGGAGGAGATAGATGCCCACAGTTTCAGACTGGGATGCCGTGTTCTTTCAGTGCTGCAGGCATTGAGACTTGCACAAGAACTCCCAGACAGAGGCATTTACTGCTTTCTCCCATGCCTGGTGGAAGCACCCCTAGAAGGGATTCCAGAGTCCAGGGAGCATCAGCAGAGGAGGATGGGGCAGACAGGTGACATGGCACTGGGCTCCGATTTGTTTCCTGGATTATCAATAGATTCCTGCCCACTATTTCCCCGGTGAATTTACCATGTTTCTTTTTCCTATTCCAAAGCTAATCATTTATATATTCTGAACATTAATCTGTGAGGATAGTTATGGGTTAGCAGTCAGGAAGTTTCAGATGCTAGAGCACTTTGGCTTTTTGAGTGAGAGGCATTCATCCAGTTAAAGTCCATAAAATATCCCCCAAATCAAAAAACCCTGAGACATGTTAGATAAGGGATAATCAACCTATGATACAAATTGGTTTGTACTTGAGTGTGGAGGAGGGTGTTCACAGGTGTGCTGCGGGAGCCTGGAGTTAGTCTCAGTTGCTCATGAGGAGCAGTATACTTTTTTTTTTTTTTTTTGAGGTGGATCTCTGCTGTGAAGTCTACTGAATAGGCAAGGCTGACTGGCCAGTGAGCTTCAGGGATCCCCTGCCTGCCTCTCCCTAGGACTAGAATTTTACACACTCACTGACATGCTTGACTTTTTACACGGTCCCTGGGGTTAAACTCAGGTCCTCATACTTGTGCTGTAGGCATTTTACTGGCTAAACTACCTTTCCAGCCCCCAGTGCTTATTCTTAACTTTATTTATGGGGCCTGACTCTATTCATTGCCCGTCAAAATCCCAACACAATTCTTCACAGACCTTGAAAGAATACTCAACTTCATATGGAAAAACAAAGAACCCAGGATACCTAAAACAATTCTGTACAATAAAGGAACTTCCAGAGGTATCACCATCCCTGACTTCAATTAAGCTCTGCTATAGAGCTATAGTAATAAAAAACACCTTGGATATTGACATAAAAACAGACACATGGATCAATGGGATCAAATTGTAGACCCTGACATAAATCCACACACCTATAAACACCTGGTTTTTGACAAAAAAGCCAAAATTATACAATGGGGAAAAGGCATCAACAAATGGTGCTGGCATAATTGGATGTTGACATGTAGAAGATTGCAAGTAGATCCCTATCTGTTGTCCTGCACAAACTGCCCAAGTGGATCAAAGATCTCAACATAAATCCATTTACACTGAACCTGATAGAAGAGAAAGTGGGAAGTAGCCATGAACACATTTGCAGAAGAGATTTCTTCCTGAATATAACACCAGTAACACAGACACTGAGGTCAACAATTAATACATAGGCCCTTCTGAAACTGAAAAGTTTCTGTAAGGCAATGGACACAGTCAATAAGACAAAATGACAGCCTACATATGGGAAAAGATCTTCACCAACCCCACATTTGACAGAGGACTGATCTCCAAAATATATAAAGAACTCAAGAAAGTAGACATCAAAATACCAAATAATCCAATTAGAAAAATGGGGGTATAAATCTAAACAGAATCCTCAACAGAAGACTCTCAAATGGCCAAAAGATATTTAGGCAATTTCTCAACATCCTTCAGTCATCAGGGAAATGCAAATCAAAACGACTCTGAGATACCATCTTATACTTGTCAGAATGGCTAAGATCAAAAACAGTGATGACAGCTTATGTTGAATGTGGAGTAAGGGGAACACTCCTCCACTGCTGGTGGGAGTGCAAACTTGTACAGCCACTCTGGAAATCAATATGGTGGTTTCTCAGAAAATTGGGAATCAACCTACTTCAAGACTCAGCTATACCAATCTTAGGCGTTCACCCAAAGGATACTCAATTATTCTATAGGGACACGTGCTCAACTATGTAAATGACAGCATTATTCCTAATAGCCAGGACCTACAAACAACCTAGATGTACCTCAATCAAAGAATGGGTAAGGAAAAGCTGGTAGTACATTTACACAACAGAGTATTACCCAGCTGTAAAAAAAAAAAAAAAAAAAAAAAAAAAAAAAAAAAAAAAAAAAAAAAAAAAAAAAAAACCCACATCGACCTCATGAAATTTGCAGGCAAATTGATGGAACTAGAAAAAAATAATTCTGCATGAGGTAACTCAAACCCCCAAAGACAAACATGTTATGTACTCACTCATAAGTGAATATTAGCTGTAAAGTAAGGGATACCACCCTACAATCCACAGCCCCAGAGACTAGATAACAAGGAGAGCCAAAAGAGGGAAGCATGGATTTCCCTAAGAAGGGGAAATAGAGATCTCCTAGAAAACTGGGGGCAAGGGACTAGGGAATGGAGAGGTGGGAGCTTGAGGGAGTGGTTTGGTTGGGCTGGGTGTGGGAGGTGGATTGGAGGCGGATGGAGGGGGAGAGTAATGAAAGTCTTGATGAGGGGTATTTGGGGGCTAGTGAGAGACCTGGTGCCAGGGAAACCCCTAGGAATCCAAAAAAGGATGACCCAAACTAAGACTCCTAGCAATAGTGGAGGGGGTGCCTGAACTGGTCACTTACTGTAAGCAGATTGGTGACTTCCCTAATTGCTATCAGAGGTACTCTATCCAGTAACTGATGGAAGCAGAGGTAGAGATCCACAGACAAGCACTGAGCTGAGCTCTGAGAGTCTTAAGAAAGGGAGGAGAGATTGTACGAGCCAGGGGGATCATGATGGGGAACCCACAGAGACAGCTGAACTGAGCTCATGGGAGCTCATGGATTCTGGACCAACAGAGAATCTCCATAGGATCAACCTAGGCCCTCTGCATGTGTGTGACAGTTACATAGCTTGGTCTCTTTGTAAGGCTCCCAGATCAGGACCTGTCCCTGGTGCTTGGCTGGCTTTTGAAAACCTGTTCCCCATGCTGGATTACCTTGCCCAACCTTGACGCAAGGGGAAGAGCTATGTCCTGCCTCAACTTACTGTGTCATGCTTTGCTCAAGCCCTTGGGAGGCCTGCCCCTTTCTGAGTGAAGATGGAGGAGTGGGGGGGGGGGCTGCAGTTGGTATGTAAAATAAATGAAAACGTTATTTAAATAAAGTAAAAAATAGAAAAGGGTATTCTGAGTGCTGAACGAGAAAGTCGGCCTGCTCACAGCTGGGCACTGATGACAAGAACTCATGTTTGCTGAGCTTCTTCATATTGAAAAAAATAAATGAAGATGTTATTTTCCCTTCCCAAAAAAAAAAAAAAAAAAAAAAGATTTCTATTGCTGCGAAGAGACACCAAGACCACATGAAAACATTCAATTGGGGCTGGCTTCCAGTTTACTCCTTTATCATGGCAGGAAACATGGAGGGATACAGGCAGACATGGTGCTAGAGAAGGAGTTGAATTCTACATCTTGATCCACAGAGACCAGAAAACTGAGACCCTTCCTCCAATAAGGCCACACCTACTCCAACAAGGCCACACCTTCTAGTAGTGCCAGTCCTATTGCAGGATATTTGATCACACTGTGAACCCAAAGATTGGATTATTTATTGAAAAACCCTGCTTCTAGTTGTGGTGTAGCTCAACCTGAGTACACACCTTTAATTCAAGAACCTTCTGCCTGAATATTGTAAAATAAAATCAACCATAGGTCAAGAGGTGGAGCAAACAACCAGTTGACGGGATAAAACAGTAAGAGGAAGTCATGAGGATAGAGAGACACACACAGGAAGTAGGAAGGACATCTAGTTGGGAGAGTTTTATTCAAGTAGGAGCAAGGTTCTTTTTGTGGGGGACATCGGCAGAGGAAGAAAGTCAGCTGGGTGCCTGCTCTGTCTCTTTGAGCTAGTAGGCTTTCATGCCAGCATCTGGCTCCTGAGAAGCCATCAGATTTGGTAGGATACCTGGGAAATCCTCAAGGAGAGAGTTAAAGCTATTAAAAGGAAAAAATGTTCCCACATTTAGGAATGGGAAATATCACAATACTCAGGGTGTTAGGCCCCTGCATAGTGCTACTTTAAATGGCACGGAAATAGAGAAAATGAAAAGATAAATGACTTTATTGAGATTGACATCATACCAATTTATAATTCCTGCCAGTCTGGCATTGATATTTTATCATTAAGAGGCAGAGTGTTTTTTTGTGCCAGATGTGGAAAGTGGGTTGATAGGATGCAAGCCTTAGGAAGATTTATAAATGAAAATAAGGAAAATACTCAAACAGAGGAATTTAGGCAAGAACGTACCATGCCACCACATGGTGAAACTGAAGAGGGGTGGCCAAAGTTGTTAGAAAACCAACTTAGTTTTTATCCAGTTACTGGACAAGAATTACCAACAGACAACAGGCACCCCCAAGGTTATCAGGGAGTTAAATGGAGTCCTGTTAGATTTGAGGAGATTTAAGGAAGCACTTGTTCATTGGTATGTATTCACCCTATGTGATGAATTCATGGGCAACTAGGAGCAGAAGTATCTCACAAGCCTGGGAAGAGTTGGCAACAGTAATATTGGAGGCTGTCCCCAGTTATGATGACGAACATGGTGAAAAGAGTCAGAGCAACAAACAGACCTTGAGGTATTAATAATATTCCCCAAGATCAGTCGCTAGATGATGGTCAGTATGCTGAATTACAAAGGCAGCTTGAATTTGATGATCATGACTTGGCACTATATCATTTAGCAGTTTTAAATGCTTGTGACAAGATTGAAGAAATCAGAGGTCTGAATCATTTACTAAAATTATGCAAGGTCCAAAAGCGTTCACTGTTTTTTTTTTTTTTTTTTTGCAACGATTGACTTCAGCTATAAATAGAATAGTATCAGATCCAGAGTCAGACAACTATTAATCAAATCTTTGTCTTTGGGGAATGCTCATTCAGAATGCAAAAGGGTGATTGGGCTTTTAAAAGCAAGAATAGCACCAATAGTTGAATGGATTAGGAATATGGCTGATATTGGATCTCTCATTTATGATGCTACTCTAATAGAAGCATTTCTAGGGGGCTGGAGAGATGGCTCAGAGGTTAAGAGCACTGGCTGCTCTTCCAGAGGTCCTGAGTTCAATTCCCAGCAACCACATGGTGGCTCACAACCATCTGTACTGAGATCTGGCGCCCTTCTCTGGCATGTGGGCATACATCTATGCAGAATGTTGTATACATAATAAACGAATCTTTAAAAAAAAAAAGAAGCATTTCTAAAAGTTTTAAGAAAAATCAAAATGTGAGATGTTTTAATTGTGGTAAACAAGGTCATTTGAAAAGGGATTGTGGGCAAGGCATTCCTAGAAACAGTATTTTCCAGAGATTTTTTTTCTTGGGTATGCAGAGGTGTGGTAAAGGTCAGCATTGGACTAAGGAATGCAGATCAATAAGGGCCAGGCAAGGTAATCTCTGCCATCAGGAAGTACCCTAAGGAACCTCCTACAGGCCCCAAGTTCAAATTTGATTCAGTCATTCCCTGTCAACATTGGAGAAAATCATTCACAGAGCATAAAAATTGACTAGTCTGTTGTTAAAAACAACACTGCTCTGGGTATAATCAGGACAGAACAGCTTCAACAGATAAAACAAAAATTCAAGAGAGACTAGAAAAGAAGTATTTTTGCAAGCTGCTATAAATGATCAGAGATCAAAGCTAAAAATACAAATAAATGACGTTGAAATTGAAGGGTTACTAGACACAGGAGCATATGTAACAATAATTTCACCAAAATCTTGGTATCCAAATTGACCTCTTCAGGAGGTAAATATTTGGTTCCTAGGGATTGGAACTTTATCTCAGGTAAAACAAAGTAATAAAAGATGATCAAATGTATAGGGCCAGAAAGAGATAGGAAAAGTAAAGCCGTACGTGGCCATGAATTTTTGGGAACATGATTTGTTGCAGCAATGGAAACACAGATTTAACATTTCTCCAATCTCAGAAACAAACCATAAAATGAATTCTTCCAGAAAAAAAATAGTAAAAGGTATTATCAAGAACAGTCACAGTTCAGGTTATACCTAAGCAGAGCACAGTGGCTGTTGGTCTTTCAAAGGTACCAACCACCCTGTTTAAAATGGGTAACTGACAAATCCATCTGTGTGGAACAATGACCTTGGACATGAGAAAAATCACAGGCATTAGAACATCTGGTGTAGGAACAGCTCAGTGATAAACATATTAAATAACCAACCAGTCCTTGGAATTCTCCTATATTCTTCATTAAAAAGAAATCTGGAAAATGGAGAATGTTAGCAGATTTGAGAGCCCTAAATAAGGTGATTCAGTCAATGGGCTCTTTACAGCCAGGAATTCCCTTACCCTCTATTGCCTAAGGGGTGATCTATTATAATTATTGATTTAAAAGACTGCTTTTTTATATGCCTTTAGAAAAACAAAGGAAAATTTGCCTTCCCAGTTCTTAATTAAAATAATGTTCATCAGGAGGCAGAGGCAGGCAGATCTCTGTGAATCCAAGGCCAGCCTGGTCTATAAGAGCTAGTTCCAGGACTGGCTCCAAAGCAACACAGAGAAACCCTGTCTCAAAAAAAAAAAAAAAACCAATGGATAAATAAATAAATAAATATAAAATAATGTTCAACATATTAAAAGGTACCACTGGAAAATTCTACAAGGAAGGTTAAATAGTCCCACCTTGTGTCAATATTTTGTACAACAGCCATTAGAACTAATTCATACAGCTTCCTCAACCTATAATTTACTATTATATGGATGATATCTTACTAGCTGACTCAGACTCAGATACCTTAGGAAAAATGTTTGATGATGTAAAGAGAATTTTGCCTTGCTGGAGATTACAAATTACTCCTGGAAAAAAAAATACAACAAGGAGAGCCTATCAATTATCTAGGATATAAGATAGGTTTTATAGAAAATTCAACCATAGAAAGTACAAATTGGAGAGATCAATTACAAACTCCATGATTTTCAAAAATTGCTGGGGGATATTAACTGGCTATGGCCCACAACTGAATTGAACTCAAGAGCTAAGCAATTTATTTTGAACCTTATAAGGTTATAACAATTTAAATAGTTCAAGGAAATTTTCAGCTGAGGCTGAGAGAACTGGCTTTGGTAGAATAGAAATTACAGGATGCACATGTGGATTGCGTGATCCATAGCTTGACTGTATTCTAGTTATTCTATCTCCTACTCAGTCTTCCACAGGAGATTGCAGAGAGAAGATATCTTAGAATGGATATTATTATTAGCACACAAACCTAGTAAAAAAAAATTAAAGACCTATGTAGAAAGGGTTTCTAAACTGATTCTGAAAGAAAAATTAAGACTTCATCAATTAGTAGGAATAAACCTAGCAGAAACTGATACCTTTTACTAATGCTGAAAGTGCCTTATTATGGGCAGAAATTGAACATTGACAAAGAGCTTGCAGTAAGTTTTGGGAGAGATTAGCAACAAATATCCCAAAAGCAAGAGACTTCAGTTTATAAAACTAATTGGATTCTCCCTTGTATAGTAAGATAAATACCAAATTCTGGAGCCCCTACATTCTATACTGATGCAAATAAATAAATCAGGAAAGTCAGGTTTTAAGTCAGGAAAAATAAGTGTCTCAAAGCCCTTCTGATTTGGTTCAAAAATCAGATCTGTAAGCCATTCTTATGGGTATTAATAGATTTTCCTGGGTCTCTTAATTACTGACTCTCAACATTCAGAAACTGAACTTATTCCAGATGATTCAGAATTAATTTTTCTATGTGTTCAACTACCACAAGCAATCAGAAACAGAAATCATCCTTTGTACATAACATATATCAGATCCCATGCAGGCCTACCAGGCCTTCTAGCACAAGATAAAGATGAAATTGATCAGCCATTAATAGGAAATGGGCTAGAAGCCTCAGAATTCCATGAGCAACACCATTTTAATAGCAAAGATTTGAAGAGTTTTCTATCATTTGGCAACAAGCCAAGGAAACAATAGAAACCCTAACCAGGATAGGTTACACGGTGCTTTATTTTTTATTTCATTTTATTTTGTTTTTTTTTGAACAGGGTTTCACTGTGTAGCCCTAGCTGTCCTGGAACTCACTTTGTAGACCAGGCTGGCCTTGAACTCAGAGATCCACCCACCTTCCTCTGCCTCCCGAGTGCTGCAATTAAGGGCACCACCACCACCACCTGGCCAGGACCCACACTGTTAAAGCACCAGTTTGCTCATCTGCTCACACATACACCTCCCATCTCTCTGTGCTGTCAAATCTGTGGGCTCAGTGGAGTGCTGTCTGGGTGTCACGGGGAGGCTGAGTACTCACGGGGGGTCTGCACTGCCGCAGTCTGAGCAGCTGTCGTCTGGCCATGCTCATGCCTCCATAGAACACCTTCAGGGCTCTGGCCAGCTGTGCATCGCAGCCGGCTTGCTGAACACACATCTGCTTAGCCTCTCTGACTGCCGGCAGCTGGACTCTCACCTCAGCTCCCTCTGGGTTATCTGCCCTCCGGGCTAGGGTACAAAAAAAAAGTATGGGTTTCTCTGTGTAGATCTAGCTGTCCTGAAACTCACTCCCTCGACCAGATTGGCATCAAATTTAGAGATCTACGTCTCTGCCTCTACCTCCTGAGTGCTAGGATTAAAGGTGTGTGCCACCAGGCCCAGCTTTGGGGACATTTTATGTCTTCACTTATCAGCATATTCCCTTTGGAATCACTCTAAGAAATCTTAGAGGGCAAAAGAGAAAGGGTTCTGTTCTTTTGTTATGGTCTAAGATATGAGTTAACTCATTAAGATTTCCTGTTCTTCTGGAGCTGGAGGCATGGCTCAACAGTTAAGAGCACTGACTGCTCTTCCAGAGAACCTAGGTTCGATTCCAAATGCCCACATGGTGTCTGTGACTCCAGTTCCAGGGGGTCCTCCTGACAGCCTCTGCTGGCCTCTCTGGGCACACATGCACTCAGGCACACATAAAAATAAGTAAATGTAGCCGGGCGGTGGTGGCGCACGCCTTTAATCCCAGCACTCGGGAGGCAGAGGCAGGCGGATCTCTGTGAGTTCGAGACCAGCCTGGTCTACATAGAGCTAGTTCCAGGACAGGCTCCAAAACCACAGAGAAACCCTGTCTCGGAAAAAAAAAAAAAAAAAAAAAAAACAAACAAACAAACAAAAAAAAGTAAATGTTTTCTAAAGACAAATAGCACATTCCAAACATGGGAGCTAAGAATGAGATGAGCCAGCAAATGGTACTGTCTCTCACCGTGTTGAGCAGAGCCAGTTTTTTCCAGCGATGCCTTGAGAAACACGTTTTCTTCTCTGAGGGCTCGGTTAATGTCTCTGAGCAGCTCCGTTTCCTGCTCTAATGTGAGCAGTTTCTGATAAATTTCTGGTACCTGGTTTGACATGATCTACAGAAGATACGTCAGCTCAGCTTTTGTAGACTTACCTGCACAGCCTTCCAGACTAGTGGTTCATACCACCTCTTGTAAACAAGGAGGGAATGGGGGCAGGGGCAGGGAGAGGTTTAAGTCCCTCGGCACACACAGAAAAGCACAAAATCACTTTCATAAAGGGATGATTCTTGGGGGCTGTCACTGAGGTTGTTCCCCCTTGTCATCTGCCACGAGTACACACCTGGCTCACAGTCTTCACACTGGACAATTTCTCGGTATCTACCACAATGTGGCCTTCACCTGGGAGCAGGCTGTCCAGCTGAGAGAAGCCAAATTCAGCACAGCCTTCTGCAGCATGGGAGAGGGGACCAGAAAGGAAAGAGCCCAGTGAGCTTAAGTGAATATTGAACCCCAGCCCTGGCAGAAGATGGCGCTTACCCACTGCTCCCCAGACCTGCCTGCCTCCCTCGCTCCCTCTCAGCATGGAATCTGGTTGAACAGCACACCTAGGAAAGGATGAACAAGCAAGGTACCTTGGAGGCCCCACAAGTCAACGACCAGGGCATTTGTCAGTAAGTAGTCCAGGAACTTGCGAGAGGCACTCAAGGCCACGACGTGGACAGTCTCTTCCACCCTGGGGTTCACGCTCTTCCACACAGGCTTCGTATACAGAGTGTTTGGGAGATCATAGATTCTGTACCTGAGGCAAGGATATAAAACATAATTGAAAACCAGAAGGGCTATATCTGTGCGGCTAGCTGAGAAGCTGCTCTGTAATTGAGATGTAGTTTTCCACCTCCAGCTCTGTCACTCAGCATGAATACCATCACCATCGAGTAGGTAAGTCCAACAGGCAAGAAGGGGTTAATCAGTGTTTACTTTAAAGTGTTAGGTTTCCTTGGGAGGTGTTCAGTTTGTACTTGTTTTTTGGGTTTTGTTTTTTTGTCTATTTTTGTTTTGAGACAGTTTCTCTGTGTAGCCCTCGAACTGTCCTGGAACTCACTCTGTCTGTAGACCAGGCTCGAACTCACAGAGATCCACCTGCCTCTGCCTCCTGAGTGCTGGGATCAAGGGTGTGCGCCACCACTGCCCAGCACATTTTTTACTTCTTAAAACACCCTTTCTTTACCTTTCAATATCCTTTGAACCACATGAATTTAACCCTTTCTGGTTGTGTCTGTACTTAAACATGGTTTTGGTAGATTTTTTTTTTTTTTTGGTGGCAATTCAAGTATCTGACCTGTTGCTTTAATCACATAAGAGACTCAGCAGCCATCCTAGGCATGTGGAGGGCCATGTGGCTGCTCTATGTGATGGAGAGAGTAGCCATTTTGCAGTTGAACAAACAGAAAAACTTAGAATTTTATGATAAACGCATCCACCAGGAGCCACACATAGGGTGTGTTCACGGAGCGTGTAGTGCGGATCCGTACCCCAGCTGGATGCCCCGGCTTGCATCTTCCTTTAGCCATTTGACACCAAGGCATCTGACAATGTGAATCTGGAAGTCAAGCCTCTTGCCCAGTAGCTCCAGAGGGTCAATAACCATATCTTCCTCCCCACGGGCCCTACAGACAAGAGTTGAACATCAGTCTCTGGATTAGGCTGGACCCAGGCTAGTTAGTGTTCAAATGTCACAGAAATAAAAGAGTCCTTAAGAGATAGAGATAGACAGAAATAAAAGATTCCTTAAGAGATAGAGATAGACGATTGCCCTAGAGGACTGGATGGTAGTATCTGCTGTAGAACCCATTCACTCAAGAGCTACTTCCGGATGGTGCTTCTGGCAAAGAGAGCTCACAGGCCAGAGAAGAAGCCAAACATCTCCGTGTGGCGAATGCGTGTGGGTAAGATGCAAAGCCCACACTGAGGACAGTTGGTCCCACTGGGGAGGAGGAAGGGCCAGCGTCTGCTCAGAGGCTGCAGCCTAATTTGTCATCTGCCTTGGTGAGTCAGTCACATTCCAGAGTCAGCATGATCCCTCTTGTCCTTGGAAGCTGCCTGGGTCAGCTTTCCGACTGGGGACCTCTCTTATGTCAACCATGCTCTTAAAGGCTGAAACTCACACGTAAGAATGTCATGTTGTTAATTTTCATTGTGACCCTAGGTAGCTAGCGCAGACAGGTGGCACACCAGTGGCCTGAAGTCCCTACAGACACTGCTTTTGGTCAGCTTGGCCTTTTGGGCCCAGAACTACAAGACTTTCCTACTCCCTTCTCAAGGGGGTTTCCTCTTCATCAAGACAAAAGGTCACATTAGATGTTTGTACCCAATCCAGGACTCCTGCCAGACTCTCTGCTTAGAATTGCTGAAATACTATTATATAAACATCTTATGGCCTAAAACATAAATAATAAATCAGGAGTTTAGGGACAGCACAGAAGGATTCAGACACAGACACATAGCAACCCCACTCCCTCCCCCCCCCCCCCCCCCCCCCCCCCCCCCCCCCCCCCCCCCCCCCCCCCCCCCCCAAACCAAGGAGCAAAGCTCTGGCCTCTGCCAAGAATGGAGACGGGAGAGCAGAAACCAACTTTCTGCTTCTGGCCCTGATGCCTGCCAAGTGTGACAAGCACTCTGTGGAGTGAATGCCAGACCTGCAAGGTGCCAGGAGCAGGCTGTGGCTGAGGGTAAGCATGTCCACGACACAGGCTTCCTTCCCAGGGTCCCCTCATGGAACCAGCCCAGGCTTTGGGATCAGCGTTCCTCATGCCATCTGCTGTTTTGTGGGATGTTCTCCTGATTCCCCGGGTCCCCAGGGCAGTGCTGAGCTGTCTCTAATACAAGCCATTTGGCAAGAATCAGATTCAACGGGGTCAAGTCATTCTCTTGTCTGTTTGTCTCATCAGTGACCCCTTAAGGGACCAAGTTGATTTCCCTCCCCCCCCCTTCATGAGAACTCAGGCTCTTTTGAGCATCCTGGGAGTGGACCAAGACTCACCATCCCTCCGGGGAGCAGGGAGTGATGCGGATGTGTAATACTGCCTCCTCCAGCCCATCATAGTTCAGAAACTCCACCTGCTCCTCCAGCATCATGTGGTAAGCCAGGGACTGCAGCCAAATGTGTGCTGAGCCCAAGTGGACAGCCTCCACAGGGTCCCAGAAAGGGTCATCTTCCTGAGCCACCTGGCTGTCTTCACTCTCTAGAAAGTGCTGGTAAAGTTCCTCCATCAGGAATTTCCTATTGATAAACTTGGCTTTTGACCAAATCCATACCTGGGGATGCAAATGGGGTCACCCAGAATCTTAGTTACTTTTCTATAAACTTGGCTTTTGACCAGATCCATACCAGGGAAGGCAAGGGAGGTCACCTGGCATCTTAGTTACTTTTGTGCTTCTGTGAAGAGACACCATGACCGAGGCAACCTGTAAATGAACATACTCAACTGGGGGCTTGCTTGTGATTTCAGAAGGTTAGTCCATGATCATCATGAGGAGAAGCTGGCAGCAGGTCAGCAGACATGGCCCTGAGCAGTAGCTGGAGCGTAACATTCTGATCCACCAATTGGAGGCGGAGACAGACTGGGCCTGGCGTGAACGTCCAGTGACACACCTCCTCCAACAGGGAGACACCTAATCCTTCCCAACACAGTTCCACCAACTTGGAATCTAAACATTCACATGCAAGAGCTTATGAGAGCCAATATTATCCAAACTACCAGGCCATGTCCCATTTCATTTGCTGCTTAAACAACCCATCTTTTATCCACCCTGTGCCTCCTAATGGGTGGAGTTTGGGGAAGATCACATACTAGTCTCAAACTTTTTGAGGCTCTTCCAGAACCACATTGTAAGTAATGACAGTGGAGCCAGAGAGATAATTATGGCTGATTAAAGGTAGAGAGGCCATGAACCAAGGCGGCTTGGTGGTGTCTAGAAGTTGGAAAAAGCAAGGAAATAGATTTAACCACTAGTTTTCCACAGAACAGCATGACCCAGCAAGACCTGTGTTGGACTCACAGCCCACAGAGAGCTAAGCTAGACCCTGGGGGAGTCAGTAAGTTGACAGTGCTTGTCATGGACAATAGAGGACAAATACAGAACAACTGGTCTACCAGAAAGCCGGGCGGCTCCACAGCAAATGCAGAGCCACATGCTGGGTGGACAGCCCCTTCCGCCTCCCCTGTAGCTAAGCCAGCACGCAGGCACGTTAGCTCCATTTCTCAGAAGCCCACAAAGGGGTTCCATTCTTGTTCAGGGATTCATCACCAGTGAGCAACAAGTCCAAGACAGGAGTTACTGCCTCTCACTACAAGAGCAGGGCCTCTTCAAATACCTGCTATGGAGAGAAACTTAAGAGAAATCCAGTTAGAAGTTTTCTTGACTGAAAATGTCACATCAGAAGTGGTATGAAGTAAAACCAACAACCCCTTGGCAACTAGAATAAAAACAAAAGCCAATGGCTAAGGCCTTGACTCCATGGACATCACCTTCACTGGGAAAGTTGTATGACAAATGCAGATTTTTCTGTCTCTCTGGCCTCCAGGCATGTAAGGAAGCACCAAAGATGTATGTTTCTGTCCCGTGCTCACCTATACCGTCTGGGTAAGCTTCCAGGCTTAAGTCAGGTCTTTATCATCTCTATTCCTACTGGCTATCGAGGAGCTCACTATATAGACCAGGCTAGCCTTAGAGATCCACCTGCCTCTGCCTCCTGAGTGGTGGGATTAAAGGTGTACACCACCACCTTGGATCTCTGGTCTACAGGCAGGGCTACACAGAGAAACTCTGTCTCAAAAAATAGAACCATGCTCTGTAGAGCATTTCTTAACTAGTAATTGATATAAGAGGACTGAGCACATGGTTGGCAGGACCACCATGGGCTGGTGGTCCTGCGTTAAGAAACAAGCTGAGTGAACCATGAGGAGCAGGTCAGTAAACAGCACTCCTCCGTGGCCTCCAGATTCCTGCCTGCCTTGGTGTGGGAAGTCTTTTTGTAGGTGTTATTTTTATTGGCTAACAAGTAAAGAATCTGCCTTGGGCTGGGGGGGGGGGTACTAAACTGAATGCTGGGAGAAAGAAGGCAGAGTCAAGCAATGCCGTGGAGCCACCAGAGGGAAAAGACACAAGCTGCCAGCTGGAACCTTGCTGGTAGGCCGTGAGCCTCGTGGTAAAATATAAAATAGAAATGGATTAATTTAATATGTAAGAGCATGTTAGAAATATGTTAGAGTCATTGGCCAAGCAGTGTTTTAAATAATATTGTTTGTGTGATTATTTTGGGGCTGAGCAGCTTGGAATGAACAAACAGTCTTCTTACAACAGATTGGTGCACCAACACAGCCAACTAAATCCACTTAAAACCTGAGAGAGTTTGGGAAGGAGTCCTAGACACAAAAAGACAGTTAATGCAGTTTCTTGCTCCATTGATGGCAGCAAGCAGAGACAGACGCAGCTCCGTTAAAGAGTTTTCCTGACTCAGCTTTAGTGGCAGAGCTGTGTGGTTTCTTTAAGGAAAGACCTCCTGATTCGTGCCAGGAACAGCTCTGGCTCTTTTTGGGGGCTGATGCCCGCCACCCACTTCAGGTCCAGATGCTTATATGTCCACTCAGGGTCAGTAGGAAACTAGCTGAGACCATGCCCATGGCTCAGTACTCCCCATCTAGGCAGGCTGCAGATTCAGGTCTGCTAGGCTTACAAAGGCAGGAAAGCATGGTGGATTCCCACCACCATGCACAGAGATATTTCCAGGCCATGCAGTGTGCTGCATGGCAGATTTAGCTTTTACTCAGATAAAAAGGGTTTATATGCTGCACGGTGCTCCCTAAAGTTGAGATGGTGAGGGCAGCCACCAGGCAGTCTCAGAGGCAGTAAACATGCTTCCTCCCTGTTGGACTGGGGGAAGCAAGCAGGCAGGGCCTTGTTGGCCCTAGCCACACCCACTTAGCATTAAAAAAGGGAGGTGCTTCTGGTCAGAAAATTACAGATAGTTACAGATACACAATAAAGACAGATTCAGATAAAAAAAAAAAGGACCTCTAAATGGGTCACAGGATTGGATAATGTACATAGACTTGGGAGAGAGAAGAAAAGAGCATAGAGAGTTATAAAAGAAGTAAATCATTTAAAAAAAAAGTCTTTAAAGAGAGTACAGACATAGATTAAGGAAACAAAGAAAAATAAGCCACATAAAGATGGAAAATACAGAGTCTAGATTATGTATATTATTGTGTTTTCTTTGAATTTTTTGACTGTGAAGGAGCTAAGTACGGAGAAATATTTCATTGTATGGGCTGCTAAGCTAAACCAACCTATATATTTTAAAGGTATCAGAACTTCAGAATTTGAGTCTAAGAATATGTTATTTTGGAAAAGAGGTTCTTTTGTTTCCACAGAGGATGAGAACCTGTGGAATTCTTCCAGACTAATATGGTTTGATGGGCCAAGACCCCACAAAAGGTTGCCCACCACCAAAAATACTTCGCCCAACAAAAAACAGGAAGCAATTTGGAGAGAACTATACCCAAATTCCCAAATATTGTTTATAATGTTTGTTTACATTGAAAGGGGGATAGGCTACAGATATGAATACTTTGCATTAGTATGGATCTTGGTTTATTTATACAAATTTAAGGTCATTTTTGTTTTATGTATACTTCTGCTCTTGATTATGGTATTATTTTTGTGCAGCTCCTTTAAAAACGCAATATATAATTAAGAAATATAGGTTAGCCGGGCAGTGGTGGCGCACGCCTTTAATCCCAGCACTTGGGAGGCAGAGGCAGGCAGATCTCTGAGTTCGAGGCCAGCCTGGTCTACAAGAGCTAGTTCCAGGACTGGCTCCAAAACCACAGAGAAACCCCGTCTCGAAAAACCAAAAAAAAGAAAAAAAAAAAGAAATATAGGTTAATAGAAAGTCATCTATAAAAGTCAAGCTTGTAATCATGTTAGGTTGTATAGATGTACAGAGATATTTCAGATGGCTAGTTATTCTTCAAACCTTTTAAAGACTATAGAATATGGTATTTAAAATGTTTTAAGAACTTAGGACTTTTCATGACAATGAGACACATCCTGGCAGCACCATTTACTTCAAGAGGATGATGGGCATTAAAGAGGCTCCTTATGGAGTTGGTTAGACATTTGGGCAAGAAACTGCTCTTGCCTGGACTGCTTGATGGTATGCTTTATGAACTGGACTTGCAGAACCCACAGAAAAATGACTGCTGAAGTTGCCTAAAAAAGGTGAGACAGTCCTTCAGGTTTCCTGCTTCATGAAAGAGTCTGCCAGACATTCTGCAGGACACAGAAGAAAGCAACTGATGAACTTTGCCATTACAAGGCAGAACAAATCTTCACAAATTTCCTGTTTCATGGAAAAGTCTTCTAGATACTATGGGCCTGTAGGCTGAAGATAGATGCCCCAATGGTAGAGAAGAACTTTGGGTGACTGTCCAGGCAATGAGATATCTCTGTCAATTCTAGAGTTTTGGAAGTTGCTTACAATGCACTTCCTGTTTACTTAGGTAATATTTTATCTTTCTGGAGTCTTTGATGGAGTTGAAGAATAGTTATAATTATAGTTTTCTTTAGTTATGATAGAAGATAAAATAGATATATTGTCACTAACTATAATTATAATTATTATAATATAATTCTTGATACCTGTTTTGTTATATGTGATTTTACTATGTTAAAGTTAAAACCTTCCTTTCTATTTAAACAGAAAAGGTGAAATGGTATGGGAAGTTCTACTGTTTGTGTTGCTTTTATTGGTTAATGAATAAAGAATCTGCCTTGGCCTGTGATAGGGTAGAGTAGAGCTAGACAGGAAAAATTAAACTGAATGCTGGGAGAAAGAAGGCGGAGTCAAGAGACATCATGGATCCACCATGGGGAAAAGACGTGAGCTGTTAGCTGGAACCTTGCCGGTAGGCCACAAGCCTCAGTAAAATATAAAACAATAGAAGTGGGTTAATTTAATATGTAAGAGCTTGCTAGAAATATGTTAGAGTCATTGGTCAAGCAGTGTTTTAATTAATATAGTTTCTGTGTAATTGTTTTGGGGCTGAGCAGCCAGGAACAGTCTCCTACAACACTGCCTTGCTTGAGTTCCTTCCTTCTCTGCTTTCAATGATAAACTGTTACACAGGAGAGCGAGTGAAATAAACCCTTTCCACCCCAAGCTGCCTTTGGTTTTGGTGTTTCATCACAGCAGTAGCGACCCTGAGTAAGCACAATGTCACTAGAAAAGATTCTAGCAACTGGCACTATGAGAGAAAGACCAGGACACACAACAAAGGGTCCCCAGATTCAACTCCTACTCAGAAAGCATCTGGGTTCTTGTCTAGGTTGCAGCTGTCAAAAATCCCCTGTGTACTTTGGAAGCTCTCCAAGGATACTCACGCCTGCCCACTGATGGGGTCTTACCTCATGAGTCCTTGGTTTGGTCACCTTCACCATGACCTCTTTCTGGAGGTCGAAGCCCCTGGAATCTGATGATGCCAAGTTCTTCACCTTCAATTCCATTTTAAGTCCCTGGTAAAGAGACAGCTCACTAAACAATCCCCTCATTCCTATTCCTTTTATAGTCTCTTCCCCATTCTTCCCAGCCTCAGGCTTCGTAAGAGTACAGCCTGGCTCTTCCTGTTTCTTGGAGTTTCTGCCCCACCAAATTGCAGACCACCAGCATCTCCCAGTGGTATCCTGAACTACCGTTTATACTTCCTAAGTTGGTTAACTCCCTTTCAAGGCTCCTGCTGACTGGGATCTTGTGTTCTCAGGAGCTAACCCTAGGCCAGGTCCACTCTGTGGTATATCAGCCACTGAAGTGCTGGAGAGGCATGGGGACTTCAGAGGTGGTCAATTATGGCCAGTAAGTGCTGGTCTGGGATGCTAGTGCCAGGGGCTCAGCTGGCTGGGAAGGCCTGAGGGTTAGTTTAACTCTGTCCCTAGCTCTCAGTGCCATCGTGGGAAAAGCTTCATCCTTCCCCAACCTTGGACCTTTGGGGGCCTGATGTTCTGCCATCACTGGGGGTGGAAGGTCACCTTCTTTAGCTCCTCGCTCATCTGATTTGCCTCCACAACCAACGGCATGAGTTTGATGTAGTCCTGGAAGACAGCTAAGACGCTGGGATCAGCTTGGCCATCTCCGGGGCTCCCAGTACCTAGCGAGAGTCACGGAGGAAGTAAGTCTGTTTGTTCAGTGACACTTTTCTCCTTCACAAAACACACACTCAGCTGTTCACTTACACTGCCTCAAAATCTTGGCTTCAAGGCCCTCAGTCCAGTGCAAGTTCTGGACTGTCCAGGAAGGAGGGTTAAAGGAAGTAGAAGCCAATGGGCCAGAAGAGGGGCTGAATCCTCAGTGACCCAGCAAATAATTTGTTCTCCTTCAGTGTCTGGGTGCTATGGAGGAAGGGTCCTAGGGACTACGGGAGGTCCTGAGCCTCTCTCCAGACTTGGAAGAGGACTGCCTTGTGTTAGGACCTGTCTGCTCCTTAGAGACTTCCCGCCCGTGGGTCACATGGCACCGATGCCTCAGAACTTCCCACCAGGCTGCCATGGGAACCCACCATCATCCCCGGGACCAGAATGCTTCAGCCCAGGGCCCGAGGTTTGATGAACTTCCTGTCACCACTGTCCCTACGCTGGGAAGGCATCTGCACAGTCAGTTATGGAAAACTAAATGGAAAAGGTTGTTTGTGGATGGTTGTGTGTGTGTGTGTGTGTGTGTGTGTGTGTGTGTGTGTGTGTGTGTACAGTGTGCATGCGGAGACCAAACAAAGAAGGGGGTCATGTCTTCTATCACTTTCCACCTTATTTCCCTGAGGCAGTGTCTCTCCATGAACCTAGACAAGCAGTCACCAAGCCCCAGACAACCCTCTTGTCTTGTCCCTCATGAGACAACACTCAGCTCTTTACGTGGATGACAGTATAAACGTGTCCCCTCGTGGCTATAATGCTAGCATTCTTAACCACTGAGCCAGCTTGCTAACCCTGGCCTTGGGTTTACTTCAAGAACTTGGGAAGAATGTGGGTGTGGTAATCCCAGTTCTCAGTAGGCTGAGGCAAGTTAACACCTTGAGACCACCTTGCGCTACATAGTGAGTTTCGAGCTAGCCTTAGATACCTCGTGAGATCTGAATCTGAGTTAAGTATGGTGGCTCATACCTGTCATCTCAGCACCCCACTGCCCCTCAGCTGTGGCTTTATTAAGGTAAACAGAGCCTAAGTGCCTCCCCAAGAAGCCAGTACATCACAAAGACCTCAGTGGGATCCAGCCAACCCTGTGCATATGATTTGGGGCTGGGGAAGGAGGTGTGGGAAGGTGTTAAGGAGTTCTGCCTGAGGAATGGACAGGTAGAGAGTGGAGCCTCTAGGAACCCGTGAGGGGTGGAGGGTGGGTTGAGGGGCAAAAGATTATATTCCACTCAGAAACCCAGAGCTGCAGCTTCTTCCAGACCAGGGCCTGGACCTCGCCCCTCCCCATCTCTCCAGCCCAGAGCAGGCTCTCAGTGTGTGCTGGAGCGCTCCCCACTGGCTGAAGGCTTTTATCTAACCCACCCATCTCAGCATTCTTGCTTTCACTTGCTGCGGGGAACACGTTCCCATACCAAGCTAGCTTCATCCTCATCCCTAGGGAAGGGCCAGTGACCTCAACACACTGTTGACATCTATTCAGTTTTCTATTTCTCTATTTCGGGGCTGATGATGTAGCTCAGCGGAGCACTTGTCTGGCTTACAAAAACAAAGCCTTGGATTTTATTGCTAATACACAGAGAGAGAGAGAGAAACAGAGAGACAGACAGAGAGAGGTCTCAGATTTTAAACTTTCTGCATACTGTACACTGACTCCATGAAAGCAGTTGTTTTTATGTTTTCCTAGGAAGGCAGGTCCAGGATTGCTTACCAAGCATGTCCACGCTCACTCCCTCAGCAGCTGCCCGTTCTAGCTGGAAAAAGTCATAATCGTATCTACTCAAATCTTCATCACCTCGCTCTGAGGGAAACCCGATGTAGAGGAAGGCACTGTTGGATCCCAAGATGATGCGGTCCTGGAAGGGAGAGTGTAGGGAGGAAAGGCCTGGCCTGCTCCAGGGTCCAGGCTTCTTGAGCTAGAGTGGAGAGAGCCGAGAACACTCTTGACTCTGTGACCACCGAGATTCAGACCTCTGCCAGGATGTGTGGTCTGAGCCTCAGAAGAAAAGCACGGCGGTGGTGGTGGTGGGGGGGTCAGGGGTGGTTCTGTAGCATGCACTGGGGTCTGATTCAGGTTAGGTTATCGGAGGGCAGAAGTTTAAGTGCAGACATTATGTGGGGGCTTTTCAGTGAGGTAGACCACACTGCTGATGGGCCACTAGAGAGAAGTCCTTGGGATGGGGTGTGTGCTGGACAGCGAAGCTAGGGAGGGCTCACCCAGTGCTTCTAAAAGGGAACTCAGCCTCCTGCCTGTCTCAGAGGCTTGTGGCTTCTGTGTATAGTGATTGATGGAGGGAGAAGGCTTCAGGGTGGCCAATAGAGCCACGGTGGTGGTAGAGACTCCAACCAGTGTGGCAGAACAAATGGGAACAAAGAAGGACTGATGTAGGCAGGTAATTCGTCACTCCCCAGGGCGGGCTTTTAGGCCTCAGATGTATCAAATGTGAAGAGTAGCCATTTCCACCCTCCTTGTGTTATAGGGGATGTTCCCGAGATACAGGGAGTTGGGAGCCGGTCTGTCCCCCCAGCCTGTGCAACCTGGCAGAGGTAGGAAGCCCCAGGCCTGGCCAGTCCCTCTCACTGTGACAGGAGACATCTCACAAGAGCGTCCTGCAGGACCCCCCCGCCCTTGTCACCATCTTGAGGGTAGCACGGTAGCACTTCTGTGGCTGGGCAGGGGACGTACCAAGTGCTGCAGTTTTGTCCTGCTGGTGACAGGGACCCCGTTAACAATCACCTTGCACTCGCCGTGTGGTGTGACTGTCACTTTACCATCCAGATTCACAAAAGAAGCATGTTTACCTGAAATCCTAAGAACAGTTTGTCAGGGTCACCCAGTAGATTATGATTTCAAGGCTGGTCGAGTTGCACAATGAGACCCACAGCTGTGGTCAGTGGGGAAGCTCCTACTGTCCCTCAACCCACACAGAAGCTGCAGGGCCCGGCCCTGGAGAGGGCAAGGAGTTGGAAGAACAAAGATGCTATTCTATTGACAGAGCAAACTCTAGCTGAGGGCCTGCAGCTGCCAGGAACCACCAGCTGCTGAGACCGTCACAAGTCCATGAATGCTACAGCTAGCAATGGAGAAATGAAAACATGTTTCATTAGCCAAGATTGTGTATCAAAAGGTAGTAAAGAGCTGTGGTGTGTGTACACCAGGGGAAAGAATCCGCCAGAAAGGAGGAATGGATTCCCAGGATGTCAGCAACATGGGTGCAACTGGAGGGCATTATGAAATCAACCAGGTACAGAAAGATAAATAACCACATGTTCTCACCCACATGTGGAGGTCAAGACACTGGTCTCGAAGAACAGAAGAATGCTTGCCATAGCCGGGGGTGAGGGAATGGTTAATGACCACGGGTGTGGATCTTGATAGGAAGAGAGCATCTGGTGTTCTACAGTGTAAGCTTATGAGGCTCAAACTCATTAGCTGAAAGTTTCAAAATCCCTAGCACACCTGACCACCCGCCATTGTATGTTCTGGAAATCACTTTACAGAGTACAAATACACATAACTATGGTGCCGATTAAAACATATGTATGTTACTTTAAATTTTTTTTTTCAAGACAGGTTTTCTCTGTATAGCACTGGCTGTCCTGAAACTCTTTGTAGACCAGGCTGGCTCGAACTCATAGAAATCCACCTGCCTCTGCCTTCTAAGTGCTGGGATTAAAGGCGTGTGCTACCATGCCTGGCTTAAAATTTTTAAAAGCTGCTTCAGTAAGGGCTTCAAACAGCGGAGGAGACAGCCACCGGAAGATACGGTTGTGATAGACCCCCCCACGACGTGCCTGGCCTTCCATCTCCCCTTGTTGTTGCAGGGTCAACTTACTTCTGCTCATGCGGTTCTGTCTTAGAGGATTTCCGCTGCCGTCCCTTTTCTCCCAAGATGAGTGGGGGAAACAGGAGGTGTGCACCACACACTGGACTTCAGCAAGCCCTCCTGCATGAGAGCTGGAGGAGGTACTGAGGGAGGTCTGGGAACTTTTTAATATTGCCCATCCAGCAGGACTTATGGTGTGGCTTACCTACAACCAGATGACTTTCCAGAATCTACTCCAGTGAAGCATGTTAGCACAATCCTGACAACCCAACACTCAGAGGAGGGGGCAGGGGATTTCATGTTTGAGGCCAACCTGGGCTACATAGTGAGATCCTGTCTCAAAACAAAAAGCAAAACGCCGAACAAGACAGATCTCTGGGTTGAGAAGGTCTGGTCCTCTAGTTTGGGGCGGGGGCTGTTCTTACCCCAAGCCTCGAAGACGGATAGCATTTGAAGCAGCCCGACCAGCATCACAGGAGCCTGGAAAGAGTTGGGACAGTTTATCTTCAAATTGGCAGCATCTGGCCTTGATGGAGTAATATGCTTGACAGTCTGAGAGTGGTATTTTTTTCTTCAGTAAAGAGTGTGCAGAGTGCCCCCCCCATTGGAGCTGTCAATCATTAACAGCACCTGGATATGGCCTTGCTTTATGGATAATTGTTTTACTTTCTGCTCTTTTTGTCTTGGGATCCCCAACTTGGTGAAAATGCCACCTTTTTCATAGTCCTTAATCCTCAGTGACCCACTGAAGCTGGGACAGCAAAGGCTCTTAGAAGCTCTGTTTCTATGGTGACCAGCCCTTCAGGGTGTACCATGTCCCCTGCAGCTCTTGGGTGCCTCTGGCTGTCCTCCAGCCACCATCCTGCACAGGGCTTAGCCACGCATAGTGCTCAGGGAGGGGAGAACAGGGATCGGGCCAACTCTGGGCATTGAATGCCAACCCATTCAGTAGCATCCATATTGGAGAGACATTCCGAAGGCTGCCACCTCCTCAGAAACCACTAGACAAACATGTGATGTGACCACGTGTAGGTGGCGGATAACCAACATGCAGTATAGGTAAGTGATAGGGACCATTTACCTTGGCAAGGAAAGAAATTCCCAACCATGCTACAGCTGGAATGAGTTTAATGATATCAGTGAACTGAGCAGGCACAAAAGACTGTGTGTGATCTCGCTGCTTTGAGGCACCACACATGGAGAAATCCAGACACAAAAAGAACGGTGGTCACCCAGGCTCAGGAAGGGGAGTAGGGAGTTGGCTTTTAATGGGCACAGAGTTTCCATATGAGGTGATGGTAGAAAGTTCTGGAAATATGGAGATGGTTTAGTATCTATGCACTGTGTACTCAAGAATGGTTAGAGAGGTTATGTTGTATGTTTTGGAATACAAAATTAAAACTATCAAAAAAGGAAAGGGAAAGAAAGGGATGGAGGGAGAGAGAAGGGAGAGGGGGAAGGGGGAAGAGAGGAAGAAAATGGAATCAGAGCTGGTGGGTTGGGGAGGGGAGCAGGAGGACCAAGTACCGTTGTGAATGAAGAACTTGAGAACACCTGTGAGCTGTGGGTCCTCATTGACATTGAGAAGGTGTGGAAGCGCCTTCACCATCTGCTGCTCCTAAGAAGACAGAGAAAAGCCTGGAGACACCTAAGGCCCAGGTCCTCAAGAGGGAGGGGAGCTGTCCGGACATGCCTGTGTTCTCCCCCCTTTATTCTGCCTCACCTTTTTCTCTTCAGCCCCTGACATCCTCAGGCTCCTTGCTCCCCTCTGGGTAGCCCCTCCCTGGGTATCTTAACTTGCTGCTACCTGACTAAGCCTCAGCTAGAATGTCTAGTGAAGAACGGAACACTGCATTCTCCCTCAGTGAAGCCCAAGCGCAAGCGCATTTCAGTCTTCCTCTCCCACGCAGGGTGGGACCCTGCTGTGCTCAGAGGGTGGACCAGCTGAACTAGAGCCAACACTGTGCCTTAGGGTGATGTTTAGACCCTGAAGTTCCTCTGATTAAGAGCAGAGAACACGAAAGCCCTGGTGGTTACTGTTCACTGAAGTAAAGTTCTGTAGACCTGCACCCCGAAGCCCACTCAAGCCCAGAGTCACACAGGGCCACCCCGCCGCAGGGTGCTATTTAATAGGACTTCCGCTGGCACCCGAGTTTTGCCTAGACCTTCAGAATCCTGACCTCTAACCTGGTCTGCACAGACCACACCCTATTCTACTTCTCCCCCCCTGAGGCTTCATTCTGGGCTTCTGGAACCTTCCTATAGCCAAGATGGGTTCTCCCTTCTCTCAAGAGTTCCAGGTATGGTCCAAGACTTGGGCACTTGCTTGGAGCCTCGTGGCTAAGAATAAGGTTCTGCAGAGGCAGAAGGCCGTGTTTCTCACCTGTGGATGATGTTCACAGCCTGGCTCAGAAGCTGGGGTGTGGCTCAGTGCTGCACAGAGGTTTGCCTAGCATTTGCAAGGCCCTAGATTTCACCCCTAGCACCCCAAAACAATAAATATTGTACTCACAACATGGTCTGTTAGGAACTGGCCGTGAAAGTGAACACTAGCCAGGAGGGATGCAATAGCTCAGGCCGATCTACTGTGCCCCGAGGACATTCACAATCCTTAGTCCTTCAAAACTGAATCACCTCCCTCAGCAGTAAGCCATGATCTCCTTGATCCCTTCAGGCCCCACCGCAGCCCTGTCAGCTGTGTGGAGAGAGATTACCACACGTGGACAGCGTGAGCCTCACCTGCGAGAGCGCCGCGTACTGCTCCTCCCATTCCTTCCGCGCCTGCTCCAGCAGGTGGGCCCAGGTTCGAGTGCCCAGCTGCCATTCTGCCAGGAAACAAGCCGAGTGCTCTAGAGGGAGGAAGGGACTTTAAGCATGGGGCATCAAAAGAGAGACGTAGAGTGACTGCGGGGGAGCGGGGACAATTCACTGGGAAGCCTAGAGCTCAGAGGTCCCCTTTTCTCCTTCTCACATATACAGGCATGTGACCACCTGTTCAGGGAATTCCCATCTGCCCAGAGGTCAGAAAGAATAACAGATTTGTCTTGCACTGTTTTTTTTTTTTTTCATATGTTTCATGACTGGGTTTATAAACAGCGAGAATTAGATGCTGCGTGTGTATAGACACCCAACACATCCAGAACTCTGTGGCACCGTATGTGTCTGCTCTAACTCAGGCAGTGTCTTGTTGCCGTGGATGCCTGAGCTCAGCAGGTCAGCACACGAAGCCTGGACGAGCGTCCTGATTGCCGTGCCTGCCCCGTGCCTGAGCCACGTGGGAAAGCACAAGGCCGTTCACGTCAGTGGCGAATGAGACCACACTGACGTCAAAGCTGGAAAGTTTCAAGGTTGAGCCAGAAGATCCTTAACAAAACGTGGCCCTTCCCTCCCACCTGCGCTCCCTGGCCAGCCCAGCAGCTGCGCAGGCCACCACTCAGTCCTTCCAGCTAGCGTCTGGAGTCAGGCATGGCTGAGCCTAGCCTCCCGACTTGATTTACCTTCTGCTCCGGCGTCCCCGAATCTGAGCAGCTGCTTGTTCTCAGCCCTGGACGCTCTCACCAGTGTGCACGTGTTGACCGTAGCTCTGTTCTGAACCCTTTTAGCCCTGTCACATGCAATGACAAACGTTCTCTCAGGCCCCTTTGCAGCCAGGGCTACCAGCCCTGGGGAAGCAGCGGGCAAGCCCAGATCCCAGGCAGAACCAGGCTAGTTTTCCCCACCAGGAGTGTCCAGCCTTTTGCCCCTGTGTCATCTAAAAATTCCTTGGGCTACATGCATCGCTAGCCTGGGACGCATCATGGGCCCACGAGCCAAAGGCTAGACATATCTGCAATCATTGAGACCAAAACTGACCTCAGGAACCTACACGATTCCCACAAACTCACAAAGCTCAGCTGAGTCCCGTGCTAGGCTTCTGAATATCCCGGGTCCTGAACACACTTGGCTAATTCAAAAATTTGATTCATCAATAATTAAAACCCTGGAAACCATAGGCTGATTTTTTTTTTAACTCTTTGGGAGCCCATCACCCAATTCCCCAAAAAGCACACAGAGGCCTATTCTTACTTATAAGGCCCGGTCTTAGCTTATTTTGTTTCTTGCCGGCTTTTCTTAAATTACCCCGTTTATCTTTTGCCTCTGGGATGTTTCTGTTCTCTATTCCTGTTTTCCTTTCTTCTCACTCTGTGGCTGGCTGTGTAGCTGGGTGGCTGCCCCTGATGACCTCCTCTCCTTCTTTTCTTGCTCTTTGAACTTCTCTTCCTAGATGTCTCCTCCTATTTATCCTCTCTGCCTGCTAGCCCCGCCTATCCTTTCTCCTGCCTTGCTATTGGTTGTTTAGCTCTTCATTAGCCCAATCAGGTGTTTTGGACAAGCAAAGTAACACAGCTTAGCCGAGTTAAACAAATGCAATGTAAAAAACCACAACACATGTTTGCATCATTAAACGAATGTCCCACAGCATAAACAAATGTAAAATGTATCTTAAAATAATATTCTACAACAGGCTCCAGTCAACTCAGGGATTTCTGTTCCTTTCCCTACGCCCAGTGTCACCACAGAAAGCTCAAACATACCGTAACATGACTTATTCTCTGTGAGAAATTCAGATTTAACGGTGAATCTTATGCCATTATTATCTTAATGTCAGGGGTTAAACACCAGGGCTTTACCACGGGGCTTCACCCCCCACAGGTGTTTTAGGCTTTACCCTTTTATTTCACAAAAGAAATTTAAAGATTCCAGTGAGGCTTGTTCCAAGCACAAGTCAGGAACGGAGTTTAGAGAACACAGTGTCTCTCTGTGTACAACCCCTCCCAAAATCTACTGACAGCAGATCGCAGCAGGAGGCAGGAGAAAGGGAACATTCCAGAGGCTGCGAAAGCCTAAACTCCACCTACGGATCTGAGCTGGCACTCGGATGCTGGGAGAAAATGGCATGGGCATGCTACAGTACTGAGTCTAAGCCGTGAAGAATGAGGGCGGTGGGATGTGCTTTTCACTCCCAGGAAAGGGCAGATCAGGACAGTCGGTTCACTGGAGGCATAATCTGAACTGTCGGGTTTTATTGTTGTTTTGTTTTTTGAGGCGGGATCTCACCTGGATGGAGCTCTTAAACTCACAGAAATCCACCTGCATCTGACTTCCACAAGCTGGGATTAAAAACTCGCCACCATGCAAAGGCCCAAAGCATAGTTTCAGCTTTTGAGCGTCCCTGAGAGAGCGGGCACAGCAAGTGGCTTGCTGCGGACCCACCTCTCCAGGCCCTCCTGCTCTCACTCATTTTAGTTTCATTCCCGTTTCACCAGTCACTTGATTCTCCTGGACTCCCACCCCAAACACCAAGCCATCGAATAGCGGAGCGCCAAGGGAGCTGTGACGCGGGACACACGGGACACGCGGGACACGGAACACCATGACCGGTTGCTGCCCACAGAGCACTTACCTCTCAGCGTATCTCAGGGTCGACAAGGTTTCCTCATAGCAGATATCAGCTGGGCTTATGGCTGCAATCTGGAACCATCCGTGCAGACTTTCGTCATCCAGGGGTTTTGGATTTATTTTTTTTTAACATTGATGCTATTAAGATAGCTAATATTTGGGTTGAGGGGATGGCACTGCCCGTCAAGTGCTTGCTTTCCAAGAAAGAAGAACTGAGTTTGATGCCAGAACCCACATGAAAATGCCACACATGCTGGCACCCACTTGTAATCCTAGCCCTGGGAGGCAGAGGCAGGAGGATCCATGGAGCTTACTGGCCAGTGGCCTTGTCTAATTTGTGAGCTTTATGCCGGTGAGAGACCCCGTCTTAAAGGAAGTGGATGACATTTATGAGGAAAATACTCAAGGTTGTTGTCTGGCCTTCACACACGCACACACAGAGACACGTTTGCAGTCCTGCCTGTACATACATGCACGTCATGCATGCACATGCTAATAAAAAACTAATCTTCACAAAGCAGTTTATAGCATTTAATTTCCAGTATTATTTGAAGTTTAAATTATTTACTTTTTGGATTTGTTTATTTATTTGTTTATTTATTTATTTTATGTCTATGAATGTTTTGCCTGTGTGTGTGTACCAACTAAAATCTGGTTGTATACATACAAGCCTCACCTGTACAACCCGGGCATGTCTCTGTCACATTCTTTCTGGCAGTTAATGGCTTCTCATGACTAACCCCATTTATAGGGCCAATAATAACAATATTTTTTTTCTCCTAGCCACCTGCCTTCTCATCTCCCTCAAAAAGCAGCTGCCTGAGGACTCCAGGATGACAGCAAACGGGATGCCTCCAGCCACTCCTCTTGCTGAGTGTGAGCCCACCAACTCCCAGCTCTCCCCTCCCCCATGTTGCCCCATGCCTGCAGGAAGTAGCCAGACTTGAGCTGATGCCCCTTTATCCAAAGACAGCCTAAAATGTTGGTCATAATCATCACCTCAGCTCCCTGTTAGCCCTTATGCAAAAAGTCTGGAATGTAACACCAAGCATCCATCTTTGGAAGCTCCCTCCCCCTCCCCCTAGGAGTTGCCTTGGTCCAGACTCCACCTCCAAAAGAGTACGCCAAGCTGCAGACCACTCCCACAGGCTGTTTAGGCTGCCACCCAGAGAAGAAACACGTGGTCTTTGGGTTTTGCCTGGTTCCCCCCTCCCCATGCTCTCCTGGCCACTGGGAGCGCTGCAGTAAATGTGGGCATCTTTTATTCGGTCTAATTTGGTCTGATCTGAATTATTTGCGTCAGCGGAGAGGCTCGTCTTAAGAATATTCCTACCACCAGGATGGAGGCGTGGCTCCGTAGCAGAGCACTTGCCTGGTGTGTGTTAGATGCTGGTTTCCGTGCCCCATCACGGAAAACAATATACATTCCAGTAGCAGCCCCAAAAGCTGCAGCAAGAATAAGATATTCAATGTGGTAGAAGCCTTGCCACACACCGCAGTGGGCAGGCATCAGGGCTGTGAGGTGATGAAGTGGACTGGGCCGAGCGCTGAGTCCTGGGTGTGTTGAGAGTGATTTTAGCCACAGAGCACTAAGAGCTCTTACCAGTGTTGTCCGGCTGTTCCCTCCCAGAGCCGACTGGAGCAGTTTGGTCAGAACAGAATCTCTGTAGGGAATGTGCAGGACTTTCTTCCCCATGGCTGAGTCAGCCAGAGCACTGCGAGAAGGAGAAAACATTAAATAATTAATGGAAGGGATTAGGAAGAAACCGAGTCTCCGTGGGTAACTAGAGATGGCTCACACATCCCTGAGGTGGCTCTGTGTTGTGTGTGGTTTGACGGTCTCCCCTGTGGGTAAGCCACTCTTTATTTCTGTCTCCAGGGAGCCACCATGCTTTTCCTCACTCAAACCATGCACCAAGATAAATCCTTTCTCCCTGAAGCCACTTCAGGTCAGAGAGAAGTTGACTAATCCACCCTGTGGCAATAATAGCATAGACTAGCGGACACCTATACAAGGATGCCCAGGCAAGACAGGACATAAGCCAGAGACCCTCAACAGACAGGACCTGGAGAGAAAGACAACACTGAGCTTAAGAACATGGCCTGCTCTTGCAGAAAACTCCAGTTTGATGCCACACCCACAACAGGTAGTTCACAGCCACCTGGAACTCCAGCTCCAGGGGATCTGGTTCCCTCTTCTGGCTGCCATGGGTACCTGCACTCGCAGGTGCATATCCACACACATACATATAGACACACACATAATTTTAAAAAATGTAATTACAAAACTAAAGACAATTAGGCAAAGATGAATCAGATGGCAAAGGTCTGCTTGTTTTGGTGGTGTGTCAACAGGGAGGGGCGTGCCTCGGTGGGGAGAGGCTGTGAAGTTAAAAATTACTGCATACATGCACTCATATTCACGTGATAAAAAGAGTTTGGAGGGGGCTCATTGGATGGGGCATGAAGACTTAGCGTTCTGATTCCAGCACCCACATAAAAGCCAGGCAGGTGTGGCAGCTTGAGGGGTGGAGACCAGAACTCTCCCTGGGAGACCCCCAGGGCAACCTCGCTAGCTAAACTAGCTGAACTCTGTTGACTGAGGTTTCTGTGCTGCCCGGTCCTACAGACTGACTCTTTCCTCCTCCCAGAATTTTCTTGTTCTCATTGTCCCATCTCTACTTCCTGCCTGGTTGCCCCACCTATACTTCCTGCCTGGCTACTGGCCAATCAACATTTTATTAAACAAGTACAAGAAACAAATCTTTACGGGGTGAAACCATTGTCCCACAGCAGAACTCTAAGGCTCCATCTTCATCCAGAAACCTCACCTCAGTAAGCACAGCGAGAGAGCTGAGGGGGGGGGGATTCTTTCTACATGAAGGAGGCATCTCTGGTCTCTGCACATACGTGTACATGTGTGTACACGCACCCACCCACATGTGTGCCCACACACATACAAACACCTCTCTGGCAAAAAGAAAAAAGGAAAAGAGAGGAAAATAAGGAAGAACAATAGCGGGGAGGGATAGGATCTCAGCCCACATGGTAGATGCCTCCAAGAGGAGAACACAGGGACAAAAATCTGCACCAACTACTTCGGTTGATGGAGAGAATATTTGTTTTGCTAGTGTTATTCTGTGAAGCATTAATTAGTTTTAAATATACAGGAGGGCTGAGCATGAACCAATGATGCCACTGTATCATGAACTAAAGGCTATTATTAATCTAATCTTATTTCGTTTACCTTAATAGGTTTGGAGCTAGGGATGGGGTCCAGGTCTTGGGCTCACTAGGGAGCTGGAGCACCATTCTCTGCTCTTTTAAATGTCATTGTTTCATGCCATGACATGGTTGTCTGAATGAGAATGGCCCCAACAGGCTCATATGTTTGAATGCTTGGTCATCAGTTGGTGAAACTATTTGGGAAGGATGAGGAGGTGTGGCCTTGATGGAGGAGGTGTGTCACTGGGGTGGGTTTCGAGGTTTCCAAAGCCGACACCATTCCAGTTAGCTCTTTCTGTCTCCTACTTCTGGATCAAGATGTGAGCTCTCAGCTACTGCTCCCATGCCATGCAATACCTGCCTGCTACCATGTTCCCCTCTGTGATGGTCGTGGATTCTAATCCTCTAAAACTGTAAGCCCCCAACAAATGATTTTTTCTATGAGTTGCCTTGGTCATGGTGTCTCTTCAGAGCAATAGAAACATAACGAACACACAAGAATATCTGGGTGCTGGCCACATACCTGATGACATTCCCTAAACTGGTCAGGCTTAAATTGACCCTGGATCCTTCCCTCAACCGGTCTCCTTCAGCCCCCGATGATTTCTGCCTCTCGCTTCCTGCCAAGTCTGCCATGTTGATGCTGGATTGTCTGGTGAGAGCCGTGTCCAGGAAAACCTGTAGACACACACCTCGGGCTGTTAGACTGATGCCTCAGAGACAGACTGTCCCGTGATCTTATGTGGCTCTTCAAGGTATATCACAGACTCCAAACATAATAAAGTCGTGAGTGGCAGCTGTCACTGAAGGTGCCGTCCGTGTGCAGTGACAGTTGTGGTGTTATTGAGAGAAATGAAAAACTGTCAAAGTATCAGATTAACCTAATTGCTCTTCGTCTGAACCATGCGGCTTAGGCTGGCTAAAAAATATATTTTGAAAAACACTTCATACGTGACAAGGGTCATCTGTCAGGAGCCGATAACACTGGGAGAATATTGCTTTAAGGATAGCCAAGAACTGACCAATTAAAAATATGCCCATAGTATGCTTCATCTACACACCCCAAGGACAGATAGGAAGGGGCCGACTGAGAACAAGCTTATGTCTTTACTTCATTTGCATAATGATATCATGCTTATTGAACCTTGTGCCCTTTTGTAATCATTTGCTGTCCTCAATTAGGTCTGGGTATGCAAATTAGGTGAGAACTGGTGGTCCTGCAAAACTGTTTATAAAAAGTCCTGCAATCTCTGGAAGGAAGCTCCTCCTGCCCTCACCGCATTGAGTGTGCTGGACGAGTTCCATGCCTAGGCTCGTACTGCGCGTTGGAATAAACCTTGCTTTTGCATCCAAGTCCCAGATCCCTGGTGGTCTCTTTGGGGGGCTAGAAGTCTGTGCACAACAATATTTTTTGTTTGTGCTTTAACAAATAATGCTTGCCTGAAGATCAGCGTGCAGAGTTAAACACTAGTTAGACATACAGGCAGGCAGTGGTGGTGCACATCTTTAATCCCAGAACTTGGGAGTCACGTGCCTTTAATCCCAGCTCTAGGAAGGTAGAGACGGAAGTGATATGGCTGGGCAGAGAGAGGAATATAAAGTGGGAAGAGACAGGAGCTCATAGTGTTTAGTCTGAGGATTCGTAGAGATAGGATCCTGCCTATTCAGTCTGAGCCTTCGGAGAGGTAAGAACTCTAGAGGCTGGCTGCTCTGCTTCTCTGATCTTGAGGCAAGCCTTATTTGTTAGATCACAAAGAAAATGTCACCACAGACAGTGACAGTGCTGTGTTCCTGGGTCCAAGTGTCCTGCTTGCCTCTCTCCAGTTCCGCGAAGCTCTTTTGAGGGACATATGAGGTAGCGGTCATTACAGACATTTCAGTAAACTTTTAGCCCATAAAATGCTGTAAAGCCTTCATCATTACGAGCATCCTCAGCTGTTCGGCTCTGTGGTCCTGCAATGAACACACACTAAAATTCTACAGGGTTTCCTCCTGGATATATGGACTTTTTTAACATTTAAAAAGAGTTTCCATGTATTTGCCTTCACCCAATTTCTCCTCTTACTCCTAAATAAGGAGTTCAAATAACAGGGTGAACCACATATACAGTATATAAATTTTACTAACACAGCAAAATTCGTCCAGTGACCAGCACTGTACAGAATTCTCTGTTGTGGGATATCTGTTTATACTGTGTGAAGATGTATCTCTGTGATTGGTTTAATAAAATGCTGATTGGCCAATAGCTAGGCAGGAGAGGTTAGGTGGGACTTCCAGACAGAGAGAGGAACTCAGAGGTCTTAGAATCTAGGCACAGGAGACATGCCAGTGAGACATGGAGTCAGGTATGCAGAATGGGGGAGAGGTGGAAAGTCATGTAGCAGGATGCATATTAATAGAAACAGGTTAATTTAAGTCACGAGTTAGTTAGGAACAAGACTAAGCTAAAGGCCAGGCTTTCATAATTAATAATAAGTCTCCATGTCATTATTTGGGAGCTGGAAGTCCCAAAGAAAGTCCGACTACAATTCTATATGTCTGTGTGGGTATGTCTATGTGCATGTGTGCGTGTGTGTGTGTGTGCATGTATGTGTGTGTGCATGTGTGTGTGCATGTGCGTGTGTGTGCATGTGTGTATGCATAGGTGCACATGTTGAGTATTGATGCAGAGGACAGAGGTTGCTATCACATGTCTTCCTCAACTGTTCTACACTTGATTTTTGAGGCATAGTTTCTCGCTGTCCTGGAGATCACTGATTTGGCCAGACTGCTGGCCGGCAAGTCCCTGCAATCCCCATCTCTGTTTCCTCGGAATTATTACGGTTATAGAGGCAATGCTGCCATGCCTGGCTCTTTCACATGGGTACAGGGGATTTGAACTCTGGTCCTCATGCTTCCACAGCAAGTGCTTTACTGATAAGCCATCTTCCCATCTCTAGAAAATTCCCATCTCAGCCTCTCAACATGCCTGAAAACATCCATCACCCCATTTTACAGAAGATGAAACTGGGAATTTGAAGGTGAGCCCCTCAAAAGCTTAGCCCTGGCACCTAACGGTCAATTATGTGTCCACTGTTCCCAGTGTGAACATGATGGTCGCCTTTATTGCAGGTTCAGTTCTGAGAGGACAAGGGTCGTGTAATCACAGCTGGCTGTGGCAGTCACCCAGGACTCAGGAACAACTGTTTCTAGAACAAACTAGGGATGTTGCTCAGAGACGTCCTGACATCCACCGAGGAGAATGGAGAAGAGAGATCCTCTCTGGTTGATCAAAGGCTTTAGTTAGTGGATGTTCCAAGGATTTTCAAGAACTAACCTTGGTCGATCTTTGTCTCAGAAAGGTGCTTCGGCACCTAGCTGTGCCCTTGGCTCATGGCTGATCCTCAGATGGGTAACCATGGGCATGCTAATCTTTTTTTTTTAAATATTTATTTATTTATTTATTTATTTATTATGTATACAATATTCTGTCTGTGTGTATGCCTGCAGGCCAGAAGGGGGCACCAGACCTCATTACAGATGGTTGTGAGCCACCATGTGGTTGCTGGGAATTGAACTCAGGACCTTTGGAAGAGCAGGCAGTGCTCTTAACCTCTGAGCCATCTCTCCAGCCCGGGCCTGCTAATCTTAATTCTCCATGCTGGACCACAGTCAATGTCTTCACAATGACCCCTAATATTTGCCATGTCCTGTGGGCACTCTGGAGATTGGTTGCCGATCGCAAGGCCACTCTGCCGTAAGTAAAGAGCCTGCGGAATGGAGGGCGGGCAGGGAGAGCAAGGCCCTCAGCTCTTCCTATTTAAGCCCTGTGATTTATGGTTGGAAGCAGTTACTTCAGCCCACTGGTCCACTCTGGACGAGTTCCACCATACGACCCCCACCCTGCCTCCAGGAGCCTGTCCCACAGATGAGGACTCCTACCTGCTTAAACTGGATGGTGATGACCATGTGGGACCGGCTGCTGCTGGCATTCATGTTGGTCGAAGCTGTCATCCTGGTTTTTGATGCTTGCTCCATCAGCTTCTCAATTTGTGCATAATTCTCACAAGGCACCCACTTTAGCCCTTCCACAAAAAACCCCAGCTGTTGATCTTCCCTGACTCTTAACCCTCCAGGAATCTTGGTTCTGGACAGCAAATCTCTTATCTGTAGGAGGAAAGAGAAGAAGAAATGTCATCCAGTTTAAGAATGTGAGAATTTGCCGGCTGGTGGTGGCGCACGCCTTTAATCCCAGCACTTGGGAGGCAGAGGCAGGTGGATCTCTGTGAGTTTGAGGCCAGCCTGGTCTACAAGAGCTAGTGCCAGGACAGCTCCAAAGCCACAGAGAAACCCTGTCTCGAAAAAAACAAACAAAAAAAACAAAACAAAAAAAAAAAGAATGTGAGAATTTCATTTCCTTCCTTATCACTGCCTGCAAAATAATTGATCCTCAGTTAATATGAGTTAGGTGTCGAATTAATACTGAGTTTCCACAGGTACTAGACAGCCTTATAATTGAGCTAAGTAAGAAATCGGGGAACGTAAAAGGAAGACGAGAACGGCTGGGCGGTGGTGGCAGTGCATGGTCTTCAGAGCGAGTTCCAGGACAGGCTCCAAAGTTATAGAGAAACCCTGTCTTGAAAAACCAGAGTCCCTGTGGGCCACATCCAACACGGGACTGGTGACCAGAGTCCTCGGTGCTAATAATCCATGGAGTCACTCAGGTGTGTGTGTTAGCACAGACTCTCGGGATGGGCACGGCTGAGTGATAAAGCCTGTGCTTAGGGTGTGCGAGGATCTGGGCAGGCAGACAGACAGAGAGAGAGAGAGAGAGAGAGAGCAGAGGATGTTACATGTTTACCTGTTCATTGTAGATTTCCAGCATGCTAAACATGACCTGCAGAGAGAACGGAGAGTCAGTGCTGTCCTGAAGATCCGGAGCGATGCAGCCAGGACATAAACGTTCAGCGAAGGAAAAGTTAACTAACATCAGCTGCAGTAGCTCTTTCAAGCTGCTCAGTGCTCAAGGGATTTTGTGGCACTGGAAAACCTCCCAATATAAAATTAAAAGAAACAAACAAACAAACAAACTCAAACCAGCCTGAGGAGCTGCTCAGCGGGCAGGAATACTGGTCACTCAAGCATGGGGACCTGAGCTTGGATCCCCAGCACCCACGCACAAAGCCAGGTAGGACTGTGCTCACCTGTAATGGTGGGGGTACAGACAGGAGCAGTTCTGGGCTAGCTGCCTGCCAGTCTATCTAAAAACCATCAAACCCCAGCTTCAGTGAGAGGCACTCTCTCAAAGGAACAAGGTGAAGGGTGTTGGAGGAGACATCTATGTCCTCCTCTGGCCTCCACACATGGACACAGAAGCATGTATAATGCATGTGCGTGTACTTTTATGTTACATACTCATACATAAACATACACATACTGTCCTAATTAGGAATAAGACTAGAGATTCAAAGGCTGTGTGAAAGCCTTTGAATCTCTGCGAGCTCAGAGAGGTTGAGTAACAACTAGCTAGTCCTCTCTCCTTGCTGGCATCCTTAGAAGACCCATGCTTCCTCCTTGCCAAGCCAGAAAAGCCTGCACCACTCCAAATCCCAGACAGACTTTCTGGGTCTGTCTCTCCCAGATGCCCTCTGAGGCTCTGGAATTATTTTTTGTTAACTAGTTGCTAACACAGCCTCCTGACCCAAGGTTAATTTTATTTAATTAACGCAAATGCAAACTTGGACCCGGTGTGATTGACTATCCCCCGCAACACACACATCAATCCGAAAATACAGACGCTGATGCCTCCCACTTGTGGAAAATGAAAAGGTGCATTTCCTGAGAGAAAGGAGTCTAGAATAATGGATGAATACCTGGAGTTCTAGGTTTTTCTTCTGCATCTTAATAGCTTGGAAGAGCTCTTCACACACTCTTGGAATAATACCCTTGTTTGTGCCAAAGCCAATCATGGAGTAGCTTTTTCCAGAGCCGGTCTGGCCGTAGGCCAGGAGAGTAGCATTGTAGCCTCGCCAGGCACTGTCTAGAATTCCCCTCCCAATATCATGGAAGACTTGGAGCTAGAAAGGAAATTGTAACTGTCACTAGCCACGGTGGCTCTAAAGCATTTCTTCAACACATATGAACGTGTGCAAACAGTCACACACCACAGACTCCTCCACAGAACTGTAGTTTGTATCCAGGTGGCTGCCCAAAGGTTTAGCCCCCCAGGTTAGTAGCATGCCGAGGCTGTGGGAACACCCTGGCCTCTTTCTATTTCCTGCCGTGAGATCTGTAGTGTTGCCTCCCCCAGCACTGCCTGCTCTAATGCGTTGCTTCACCACAGGCTGAGAAAGTGATGGGCTAGAGCCTATGAAATGAACAAATAGGCCTTGACTCTTCAAAGTGAGTTATCTCGGGCGTTTTTTATACGAACAGAAAGTTGCCTCATGTACACACCCTTAAAAAACGAATCTCTCCTCAGTGTTCAGTGCCCACTGCAGAAAGGAGCAGAAAGAGTAAGAGCCAGAGGTCAGGGAGGACCCGAGCAATGGTGCTTTTAACACATGGCAGAACTCACAAGACCCGCATAACAGCCAGCCAGTCGCCAGTCCAGCACCGAGTGCGGAGGGGCTCATGAGCTTCACTCCCAGCCGAGGAGATACTGACAGTTAATGGCTTCTGGGGGGACAATTTTCTTTAAAGGTATGACCCCTGGTAAGTTGAGAGGCCCCCATATTCCTGAATAGATGGACAGCTAACACAGGTCTCTATGGATAAAGAAAGGAAGGAGGAAGGGAGGGAGAGAGGGAGGAAAGGAAGGAAAGAAGGAAGGGAGAAAAAGAGAGAGAGAGAAAGGGACAAAAATTGGAGGGAGGGGTGGAAGAGTGTTGGGGAGGATCTAGGAGTTTAGGAGAAGGAGCAAGGGGTGAATTCCATAAAAATGCAGGGTGTGCATGCATAAAAATTTAAAATAATTAATAAAAATATAAAATCTGTTTAAATTTTTATTATTGTATGTTTATGTGCCCCATGTGTGCCTGGTGTCCTTGGAGACCAGAAGAGAGCACCAGACCTCCTAGAACTGGAGTTCACAGACAACCGTGAGCCATCATATGACTGCTGGGATTGAGCCCAGGTCCTGTGGAAGAGCAGTCAATGCTCTTAACCACTGAGCCACCTCTCCAGCCCCTAAGAATATATGAAAACCACAACAATAACAACAACCTTGAAAAGCAGGCATGATAGCAGAATGCTTTGGGAGGCAAAAGCAGAAAGAAAAACATTTTTAAAAGTGGAATCAAAAGATGCTTGCACCACAATTGCTCAAAAGGCAGTGTGGCCTGGCTCCTTTTCTTTCTGGTCATGGCTGCTGCGGCAATAGTTATCTGTCAGGAGCCATTTCCCCCTATCATTACAGGAACCATCACCCTGGGGAGTCTGCAGGGAACCTCACACCCATAATTATGTTCTATTGACAGAATCTGCCCCTCACCCAATTAACTGTTAATCTATTAGCAGAATACGCCTCACATTCCAGCTACCCAGGGAACCAGGTGTGGCAACTTGTGACTTCCTGGCCTGTCTGTCTGTCTGTAACCTAGCCTACGTGACCTGGAACATGCGGCAAGAATCCAGTTACCCTACCCCCCATTCCTTACCATATATAAACTGTAACCCGTCCCTAATAAACTGAGGCTTTGACAAATCTGCTTGACCTCCTTCTTCTGTCTTAGCTCATTCCCTTCCAGGTAGCGCCCCTCCGAGACCCTGGAATAACTTGATTGCCGGGTGGGTTACAAACCCCTAGACTGAGTAACCCCCCAAATGCAATCGACAGTTATCAAAGAATAAAACAGGGAGAATCATGGAATCCATCTGTCGCAATATGTACCTTTATGGAATTTATGTAGTTTTTAATTCTGAGAAAGACGTACACACCAACATAGCATGATCTATGATGGTAAGCTTTTCATCCCAGCACTTGGGAGGCAGAGGCAGGCAAATCTCTGAGTTTGAGGCCAGCCTGGTGCACAGAGTTAATTCCAGGACAGTCAGAGCTACATAGAGAAACCCTGTCCTGAAAACCAGAAAACCAACAACAGAAAAGAAAATATATTTGTTTTTCATAGGAAGGAATAAAAAGCTGCATGGCTTTCATATCAGCACTCAGGAGGAAGAGGCAGGAGGATCTCTGAGTTTGAGGCCAACCTGGTCTATATAACAACTTCTATGCTAGCCAGGGCTGCATAGAGACATTGTATCAAAAAACAAAACAAAAATAGGAATACAAAATTGTTGTACTATAAGGGTTGTGTGGTCTATAGGATTAATGAAATTTGACTGTAGTTTTCAAGAACACTGTTGTAGAGAACTGCATGGAGCCACATCTGATGGTGCTGGCTCCCGCCCTCTGCGATCCTGATAGCGAGTGCTCTCTATGATAATCAACTCCTATGGCTAAGACCTGACTCGTGCTATTATCACGCAAGGATTGTCAGCTGCTTGCGTATGCGTGGACCTATGGGCAGTGCCCACCTGGCAATCCGGGGTTGGCGGCCTGTGCCTTTTTAAGGGCTGGGAGAGGTGTGGAGAAGGAGAGAGAGAGAGAGAGAGAGAGAGAGAGAGAGAGAGAGAGAGAGAGAGAGAGAGAGAGAGAGAGAGAGAGAGGAGAAAGATTGCTGTGAATAAAGTCCTGAATAAACTGCTGCAAGAAGAACTCCGGGTGTTGTGTCTTCCTTGCTGGTCGAGGCAGGCGTGACACACTGTGTCTATACTTTTGCTCAAAATGTATCTGAATAAAGTTATCTGCAGCTCTTTTTTTAAAGGTTTGTGTGTGTGTGTGTGTGTGTGTGTGTGTGTGTGTGTGTGCAGGTACCCTTGGAGGCCAGAGCGGGTTGTTGGGTGTCCTGGAGATGGAGTCACAGGTGACTGTAAACCATTCATCGCAGGTGCTGGGCGAGAGCAGCCAGTGCCACGACCCGCTGAGCATCTTTCTGTCCAGCTTGGTGGTTTAGCAGCTGCTTGGCAAACCTCAGACGTGATTGTCAAGTTTAGTAACTGGACTCCTTCTTGCTGACTCTATTGGAATCTTAGAGAGTTTTTTTGTTCTTAGTTGAAAATTTTAAAATTACATTTATTTTGTGTGCACACATGTATTTGTGTGTGTGTGGGGGGGGGTGCGTGTGCTCACCACAGTACATGTGTGGAGGCCAGAGGACAACGTGTGGGACTTGGTCCTCTCCTCCCACCATGTTGGTCCCAGGGATTGAGTTCAGGTCATCAGACACGGTGTAGGCGACATCTCACCAGCCGTTGTCCTGAATTTTCATAAATTGAAAGTTTCAAGTAGTACAACATTTTGTTAAGTACTAGGTAGAGAGTAGAAACATTTCATAAACATTTTAGGGTGTGGTCTTCCACTGGGGTATGGTGTGGCTATTATCTGTATGCTGAGAAACCTGGGACATTTTGGAGTTACTTTCCCAGTTTCTTTCCAACACATCATTCTGTGACCAAACAGAGAGATCTGTCTTCATTTTGTACTTCTTTGTTAACTGGCTTTCCATTGTTATAATACCCAAGATCATAATCATTTTATGGAGGAAAGATTGGTTTGGGCTCATGGTTTCAGTTCATGCTCAGTTGGCCCCATTGCTATGGGGCAGGAGCATACGACAGACTTGCCTCCTGAAGCTAGAAAGCAAGGTGAGAGAGAGGAGGGGCAGGGGTCCCCACATTTTCTTCAAGGACATGCTAGGACTCTAAGTTCCTCCTACACGGTCTCTCCTCTCCAAAGCCCCGCGGAGCAAGGCTTAGCAATCATATGGTTTCTGAGTCTGAACTCAGGTCTGCAGGCTCTGGGAGCAAGTGCTTTCCCAACTAAGCCATCTCATTGCTCTGGCAGGGATAATGTTGAAGGGAAAACACAAACCACAAAATCTACCATTGACGTGTCTATGCGACTTACCTGACCTGCGAATTTACTGGTTGGATTGGATGGAATAAGGACACCATCTTTGTCCTTTTGAAAGTCATCATGAGACCAATAGGCCAGGTCAAAGGTGAAGGTCTTCAGATGCTCTCTGTTCTTAGGGTCTCGGATGGTGGTGCTTTGGGACTGCATGGAAATCACACATTGGCTTCCAGAGCTCTTCTCTCTCTATAGTCGGGTTATAAATTCAGAATTAGCGCGTGCACTCCTGCTGGAAGAAGTCACGTGTCCCGACCACTTGTGGTGGTTTGGATGAGAATGGCCCCCATAGGCTCATATTTATATTTGGTTCCCAATTGGCATGGCATGGGCTTTGGAAACCTCAAAGCCGCCCCCCCCCCCACCCTCTTCCTCCAACAAGGCCACACCCATCAGTTTCCATATCTCTGCCTCTAACTTGCTGATAAGATGTTAAACTCTGTTACTGCTCCAGGGCCATGCCAGCCTGCCTGCCTGCTGCCATGCTCCCTGACCTGCTGGTCACGGACTCAACCCCTTCACACTTTTTTTGTGAGTTGCCTTGGCCATGGTGTCTCTTCACAGCAACAGAACAATGAGAAAGCCTGATTTCAAGCCTCGTTCTCTGACCAGAGTTGTAGGATCTGCCCAGCCCCATGCTTCTGCTGGTAAGACTCACTTGGTAACCCCAGTCTCTGCTTCCTTTTGTCTTATGGCACCTCGTGACTGGTTCTCATGTGCTATTTTTTGTTTTTCTTTTTTTTTTTTCTGGAAAACTTGGCAAGCCAACCAGAAAACTGAGGAAATGGACAAGAGAACAGAAGCTTGAGCAAGAGGGCACACAAATAAGACGCATATTTCTGTATGGGAAGGGGTCCTCTGTACGGTAAATGTTGTGACCGTCGTAATGTGTGTGAATACACCTCAGAGGCATTGCTGGTTTGGAACAGCTGTTTGCTAAATGCCAATTACACCACTGTCAAAAGGAAGGGCAGTGTCTTGCTACTGTAGTGGGGTTGTTTCTGTGGTAAGACCAGACTCTGCTATGGTGACACTATCTATGCTAATAGGTGAAACCCTTCAGAGGACACAGGAAATAATGCACTCAGCCATCTACCCATAAGGGTATGAGTTGGTAGCTCAAGATATCTGAGACATTCCTAGGGGTGACATGGGGTGCGTGTGTTGTGTAGTGTATAAAGTGCACACTTCTCATCTGTATGGCAGATGTACAGGGTGTACACATCTCCCATAAGATTCTCCTTGCTCACGTAGTGTGATGTCTATGCCCACAGTAGCAGCCACATGGGGCTAGGATGGTCTCCATAGGAAGCATTTTAAAGGGCTACCGCCACAGGAAGTAACTGAGTGCTTCCTTGCCAGTCAAATTGGTGCCATTTGCAGATTCATGAGCTGGGCTCAGGCAAGAACAGGACAAAAATTACCTCTAGGTTTTTGGTCCCAGCTTCGGAAAGAAGCAAAAAAAATAAATAAAAAATAAAAAAATCAACTAGTCACTTACCCTTTATTGATTTAAAAATTCCTAGATTTGTGTGTGTGTTTTGCCGGATTATGTGCATGCCTGGTGCCCATGGAGTTAAAAGAGGGTACCAAATGTCCTGGAACTGGAGTTATGGATAGTTGCTGGTCCCCATGTAGGTGCCCTTAACCACTGAGCCCTCTCTCCAGTCCCCTGAATACTTCCCTTTAGAACCAGCATTTTCTGGTAGTTGTAAAGCAACAAAACTCACTGGTTACAGTGGGCAAAGACAAAAGGCGGACAGCAGGTTCCAGTGGTCACAATGGGTACAGCGCAGTTCTCTACCTGGCAAGCTCATTACAGCACAGTATCCTCTCTCTTCCTGCAGAGGGGCTTAGGCCTGGAGGCTTCTCATCTGTGTGGTATGGACAGTGCAGGATGGGACACAGCCAAAGGGAAGGGGCGGCCTCATGTACTCCACAAAAAGCTATAGATTTGCACACAAACCCATTAACACTGTGGCTCTGCATGGTCTCACGACTTAGGTCTTAAAACGTTAATTCTCCTACTGTATGCTGTGTGGGGATCACGTGTCCACACGACAAGACCTACTTTTATGAAAGCAGATACACTTTTTTGAGTGTTTTTGAGACAGGGTTCATGTAGCCCAAGCTGGTCCTGAATGCCCAACACAGCCAAGGATGACAGCTTCCAGTCGGCTGCCTCTCCCTCCTCATGCCTAGTTTGACAGAGTGCTGGAGAGTCACCCTAGGGTCCACACACGGTGGGTGAGCACTCTATCGACTGAGCTACATCTCTGCCCCAATACACGTATGAAAAGCAGACACCACACATTTCTATGTACCAAACTGCATTGGCTCAAATAATTATTAACTTGACAGTATTTCTCTTGTCAGTTTTTTTATTGTGCTACTTGTACCAAGGAATGAAATTATTTACTAAATTATGCTTAGATCTTTGTTATTCATTTGACAAATTCATTTAAATAAGTTCAATATTTCATAAATGACAAGCAGCTTAAATACAAATTCAGGAACTGTTATTAAAAATGAATAAAATCAGGCAGTTATTGTCACCAAGGCAATGGACATGGACTGACCTGGCTGAAAGGCCGCACGCGCACCGCGACTCTCACACTGTCCGTGCTCGGCACAGGCGTTTTCCCCATTTCCCCATTATCCATAATGCTATTTGATAGAAAAATAACATACAAAGCACACTGCTACGCTCCACACAAAAACACCCAAAGCTTAGCTGACAAAGGCAGTCTGTTTCTAGGTATCAATTATTAAGGGTCCATTCATTACACTATCAATTACCTGTCATAGATTATTCAACAACACTTATTTATTGATGGATTTCATAGCCTCCATCGAGCGCCATAACTTGTGCACACTCACACTGCAGAACAGAAGAGGGCATCTGTCTCTCCTTCCACATCTACTCACACTCTTCCACTCTCCAGATCTGGGCCTGAGGTCCTTGGTCATTGCAGTTTTAAACCTGAATACTAGGAGGCTTCTGTGATTCTGTAGCTTGCACAGCGTGGGTGTCTACAGTCTGTCCGGGCTCCTCTTCTCAACGCCAGGCACACACCAGGTGGACTGAGTATTCACATTTATTTCTCAAATCCTTTCATGAGGTTGCTAAGAAGCAGTGAACCGGTCAATCTAACCTGGATAACTAGTCTCTAAATTGAGAGACAGGATAGTCTTTTAAGTTACTGAACAAGAAATGCCAGCATTATAGTTAACCAATGCATTACTGGAAAATTACTCTTTTGAGGTAGATTACACAAAATTTGTAAAACTATAAAGAGGCAAAATCACATGCCCACAAACCAAATTCAACACAGTGCCAGGCAAAGCCCAGGAAAGTACATGTGACGATTAGAAATCTGAGGAACAGGTTCAAAGTGCATAAATTATAAAAGAGCAACTTTAAAAAATAACCAACAATCACCCTCATTTAAGACTGGTTCTCTATCAACAGAGAAAGAAAATGGACAAATAGTAGCATATAAAATCACGACTAAGACAGAAATTCCCTCTCAAAAATCTAACAGACACACAGTGTATACTTTACAGCAGTTTATTTAACATCCCAATAATAAGCCATATTTACATATCATATAAACGTATGAAGTTTTATAAAATGCCTGGACTAGAAGAACCATACTCCATATGGAGCTACTTTACTTATTTACTTGTTTACAAAATTGTACAATTTATATAAATTATTTCCTTTCAAATTAGGTGACCTTTAATAACCCACACAAATACTGATGACGCCACAAACAAGTGCATGTTAAAATCTTGGGCTAAAAATTACAGCATTTTCCTACGTAAAATTTGCTTTGGAAAGGAAGACAGCTTCTTTTTGCCCCTTCCAAGAGTTTTTCCTGCTACTTCTGTAGTTTTTCTTCGTTTGCTGATCATTCTTTCATCAACTGGGCTGGCCAAGGGAGATATCAGCTTAATTTCCACAGGGGGAGGTGACCAAGAACTTTCTTTCTCCGTGTTTCTGAAAGAGAGATACCCTCAAGTAGGAGCAGGCACAGCGCAGCACTCTGCAGAGAGGTGAGGGCTAAGGGCAGGCAAGGTTAAGGTGTCAACCCCACAACCCTTACCGGTATGTGCTGACATACTCATATATGGCCGTGTAAGATACTACTGTGCAATGTCCTATGGTTAGTTCATGGGAGGAGAGCCAGCAGGCCAGAGAACTTAAGAAATTCCAGTGCTCAGTAAGAGAGGTAGGAGGACAGCTGTTGAGTCTGAGGTTGGCCTGCTTTACCTAGCAAGCTCCAGCCTAGCCAAGGCTACATGTTCTAAAGACCCAGTCTAGAGAAAATCAAAAGGAAATTCAGAACTCAGCTGTAGGTGTGTAGCACTGTGCCACCGAACAGATGGGTGGGATGGGACAGTACTCAAAAACAGTAGCAACTGGTGTGTGTGTGTCCATAAACAAAGACAATTTTACATGTGAGCAGGGTCATTAGTCAACTGCATCATATTTATTAATTTGTATGTTTATTAAATTTTCCCACGCCTAAATACAACAGAACACTGTCAAACAAACAGGAACAGAATACTGTCAAACAAAAATATCTAATTTGACCACAGATGCAGTATATTGCTAGCAGGAAAACAACAGTAGACTCTAAAGTTCTAATTCCTTACTAATCTTCTCTCCCAATCACACCCAGTGGACAACAAACTATCTTTAGGCCACCCCGCAGCACTGGGCTCTCTCTACTGGTGCCAGGCATGTCTGAGAAGCCCCTAGACAATGAGTGGAGAGACCACAGAGCACAGCTGCTTACCTGCTTGCTCTCGTCTTCATGGTCCTGCTTCTTTTTGCTTTTTGTTCTATGACTTCTAATGGTTTAGGATCACTCTCCTATGGATTAAAAATTAGAAAATATAAATTGTCTAAGCAATTAAAATTTTTCTGTTTTTAATTTCAAGACAGGGCTTCTCTGTCAGTTTCTCTTTCTCTGGCTGACCTGGAACTCACTCTGTAGACCAGGCTGGCCTCAAACCCAGAGATCCACCTTCCTCCCCTGAGTGCTGGGGCTAAAGGCATGCAACACCTAAAGTCTGATTCTAAAAGTATCCTGTTTGGTCCACACCTTTAACCACAGCACTTGGGAGGCGGGGGTAGGCAAATCTGAGTCTGAGGTCAGTCCACTATACAGAGCAAGTTCCTGGTCAGCCAGAGCTACAGAGAAACCGTTATTGAGGAAAAAAAAAAAAAAAAACCAAACCAAACCAAACAAACCAAAAAAATATCCTGCTAGAGGAGTCAACCATCTCTGAAATCCCTAGGTCCTAGAAAGCCCTCTTGCTCCCCAAGACTTGTCACAACCTCACTTGGAATGCTCCCACTGTCCACCTCCCTGAGCTAATACAGCTTCAGCTCCAAGTCCAGGCTCTCACCATCTTGTAGGTGCAGGGTCGCCAGAGATGGGTTTTTTCCTTCCCAGAATACTTTGTACAGAAATTACCCGACACCTGTACATGTCTTGCTCTGTAGCCACCACCCAGCCATGCTTCTGAATCCCTGCCTGCTGTTGCCTTTTCTGCCTCCATCTCCCTATACATGTAGAGGTACTTGAGCCAAGAGACTTTATTCAAACTAATTACTCATTTTGTCAATTAAACTGCATTTTAATCAATTATTTTTGTTGCATAGTAACTAGCTCATGGAATATAATTTAATTCATGCTTATAAGTAAAAACAACTGACATTTAATCTATGAAAAATGTCTATCTTAAGGCTGTGTACTCAATTCTGAAACTTTCTCTTTAAGGATACTCTTTGAATGACATATCTTACATAAACAACCAGATAATTTTGGGGTGGTCTCACTACACATCCCTGGTTGGCCTAAGACTTCATATGTAGAGCAGGCTGGAGCTGAACTCAAGAGAGCTGCCTAGGTCTGCCTTGAGCCATGGGATTATGGGTGCATGTCATCGTCCCAGGCAATCACCTGAATTTTAAAACTGTCATTCTAATGGGTGTCTGGAACAACACACCATAGATCTGTCCCGAAGGTAGTAAACAGAAGTTTCGTACTTTTAATATAAATGCAAATTACCTTTCTTCTTTGTTTTTGAAACAGGTTTTTCTGTGTAGCTCAGGCTGTCCTTACACTCACAGAGATCCCCTTGCCTCTGTCTCCCAAGTGCTGGGACTAAAGGCATGCACCACCACCAGCCACAAATAACCTTTCTTAAATAATAATTTTTTGTTTTTTTAAATTTTATGTGTCTTGAGTATTTTGCCTACATGTGTACCACATCCATGTCTGGTGTCCCAGGAGGCCAGAAGAGAGCACTGGATCTCCTCTTCTAGAAATGGATGGAGCTGGAGGCTGTGAGCTGAAAACTGAACCCGAGTCCCTTGCAAGAATAGCTAAGTGTGCGTAACTGCTGAGCCGTCTTTCCGGCACACATGTTATCCTTAAATAAATTTATTTTTCAACAAATTTTACTTAGGAGAAATTCACTTAAAATTTTTGCAATCTCAACACTCAGGAACCCGAGGCAAGATCATGACTTTAAGATAATCCTGAGGTATAGTGTCAATCTCAAATAAACAAAACAAACCAGAAAAATAATAAATATGCACAGTGGATGTTTATATATATATGTATATATACATATACATACATATATATTTTTTTTCAGGCATTTCTTACCAGTTCATCTAGAAGCTTGGATGTGCTGGACACATTTTTCCTCCTGGTTCTCAAAGCAGGAGGGGAGACGACAAACTGAGAAGATAAATCTGATACCAGTTCTTTCAGCTGGGCAGCAGCTAAAGACAAATGGTAAACAAAACATTTACCTATAACTATACATGGTTTAAAAACAATGATAACATAAGGCAATTATATACACTACATCAAAAATCTTGAAGCAAATGATACACTAGAAAGAAAAAAAAATCCCCAACCAAGATAGTACAACATATAAATTTATTACCCATGTCGGCAGAGAGAAATGATGTAAAAAAATCCCATTATCATTATGTCAATCAAATGTTCATAAATATTTTAGGCTCCAAACTAAATAATTGCCCCCACATAAAGATAGGACTCCAGGCAGTATAAACTATTCCTATTAGTTTGACCCTCAGCGCTCCTCGGCTACTCTCAGGAAAGCATGAATCCCATGAGAAAGTGTGAGTCTTAGTTTCTAGATGAGGTTTGTATTACACAGCAAATTTTGTTTGCAAGAAAAGACTCACTTTAAAATCTCTTTCTAGCTACCTTATTTTGAGCTACTTGGTCTAGTCAAGCAGGGGCAACAAAAAAGTTCACATCAGTAAAGCAAAAGGCTAGCTGGGTTGTGGTGGTGCACACCTTTAATCCCAGCACTTGGGAGAGGCAGGCAGATCTCTGTGAGTTTTGAGGCCAGCCTGGTCTTCAAGAGCTAGTTCCAGGCTCCAAACCAATACAGAGAAACCCTGTCTCGGAAAACCAAAAAAAGTTAAGCGAGAGACAGTAGGCTGTAACACAGATGGAGACTAGTTTAAGAATTGATTTGGGGGAGGGGCTCATTGGGCCCTACCCCTCCCTGAGGTTTTAAATTGATGGGGGAGGTGGAGATAGTTTTTACCCAGTGGTGTAGCCTTTGGTAATATGGTGGTCATGTTCCTGCAAACCACTTTCTAATTGAATCACACAAAATAAAAATAAAAAAGTAAAACAATCAGGGGAACCAGCTAAGAGAAAGGGGAGAAAAAGGTAAGGGAGGTGGGCTGAATATGATCAAAATACATTATGTACATATATGAAAATGATAATAAAATACTTATGTATAACTAATACATGTTAATGACATCTTAAAGAGAAACTGACTCAACATACAATTAAAAGTATGTACATGCTGACTCTACTTTGAACCTTTGAAATAGCGTCTCCCTAGCATGACACTGTGACTGTGGAAGCAGCGGTGCTGTGTGCCACTCAGACATTACATGCTAGAGTTTGGACTCACTAGCAGTGCCTCAGCTAATACAAAATTGATACAGACGACAATGATTTCAGTGTTGTGATGAGAAGATCAGAACAATCTGATGCATATAGCAAGAGCTTTATAAACAAGAAGTCTGTAAAATAGGCAGGCACACAGACTGGTTGACCAACATCAGATGTCAAATCCTGCTATTGTGACTCTTGCTGGACAAGAAGGTCCAAAAGTTTCAGTGGAGGTAGAGGCAAGAAAATGACAAGTCTGGGGCCCAGCTGGCCCGATCTTACCTCAAACAAAGCAAACGCTACCACTACTCACCAAACCAACAAAAACCAACCCCAACTATGACTCTATGTATTCTTGTGCAGAAGTTGTGCATCTATGGATGTCAGAGGACAGGCTTGGGTGCTGGTCCTCAGGTGTCTTCCACCT